CTTATGTGTCGCAGCATTCCAGTTTTTGGTTATAGTTCATTGGGTACACCTAAGTTTAACTGTTCTGGAAATATTGACAGTCGAAAATTGACGTTTTGCAACTTTGACAGGCTGTAAAACCTGAACCGTGAAGGCCCATCCTCAATCAATGGTAGCGAAGTGGCACTTCGGCACGCATGCTAGGATAATGTGGTTTAACGTTGGCATCCTCAATTCAATTTCGTGCTAGCATGCACGCTGACTTCGAAGTGCAAGCTGCAAGCTTTTTCGATGCGTGCCGACATGTGTCATGCGCAGTATGGTAAAAAATAATTCAGGTTTTCCTTGCGTTCGATATTTTGCTCGAAGAGCAGAGCGGAGCTGTAATCACGTGACCAGCAAACGCATAGAGCAGTTAAACGTGTATCAGAGGGCTCGAAATTTCAACAAACGAACGTGAATGAGCCTGCACCTAGTACACTTTTTAAATAAACGAACGGTAAATTTATGCTCGGAGAACTCAGATCAAAATACCGAACGCACAGTTCGTGACCGTACTACACGCATAGCAGACAGAAAATTGACAGCATTGAGGAAGGGTATGAATTTCCCAGCACACGTGCCGAAGTGCCACTTCGCTACCAGATTGATTGAGGTTGTAGCTTTAATTTTTGAGTTAAACCGATTTTACTTTCCTATCTTAGATTTTCATAAACTATCATTTGACACCAACTTTGAATTTAACCGGAGATTAAATTTAACTGGAATTTTTTTAAATTAACGGTTTAGGTTTTACAGCCTGTCAAAGTTGCGAAACGTCAAACCGAAAGTACCACCATCTTGAAAATATTTTAGCCGGGTTGCCACCATTGACATTAGTATACTGTCAAATTTTCAAAAATTTTCTGCATACAGTTTTTTACATATAGATCGATGTGGTTCCCGGTGGAACATCCTGTATATTTAAAATTAAATAAAAATTTTCATCATAAATTTAAATTCTTAATTACGACCGCTGGCGCAAATAGCTGACGACTTAGCTAATGACGTCGGCAATGGTGCTACAACAATATGGCCGCGATCATGGTTTCTGAAGTTCATAGGCTGTCTGGTTATGGGTAACCTAATGATGCATCTGGGGTGCCTTATGGAGATTTGCATTATGTTGAGGCACCCCAGATGACGCCGTAGGGCCGCGATTACCAAAACCAGGCCAAGAAGCAATCCTTAGTAGTGTGTATTATCCTTGACATTAATTAACATTCTAAAACAGCCCTTTTTCAGATCCCGTTTGCATTTGCCTCCTTCCTCTTTGCCTATTATGTTAATCAAAATTAAATAATATTTTTTATCACAAATGAATATTCTAAACTGCGACCGCTGGCACAAACAGCTGTCTACTTAGTTGATAATGTCGGCAATGGTGCTACACCATATATGACCGTGATTCCCAAAAACGAGGCCGATAAACAATCCTGTGTAGTAGTGTGTAAAATCCTTGACGCTCATTGGGGTACAGTGGGCTAGTTACTTATTTTTTAGTACTACTGTTACGTACATAATATTTATTTTGAAAAGCGTAGGTTACTACTCTATGGCGTAGGAGAGACACAACATCCCGACCAGAGCTGGGCAGGGCTTGAGTGCTTTGTGCTTGCGAAAGTGCTTGAAGCACTTTGAGGGCTTGAAAGCCCTGTGCTTCAAGCCCTTTTATAGATTTGTAATTGGGGCTTGCAAAGTCAATTACTTTAGAAAAGTGCTTGGTAATTTGTAATTGAAAAAAGTAATTCAAGCCCTTTCAATGAGCTTCAATTACTTTTAGAGGGCTTGAAGCACTTTTGGGAGCTTGAAGCACTTTGAAAGGAATTTGAATTGACCATCATTCAACCTATCCCCCACTTAAAAATTTTCGATAGTTTTGTCCCTTAATTTTTTTTTCTATTATTTGAACTTGAACCGTCTTATGTCTTTTCTCTCTTAACAATGGAGGTTTTGGGTTTGAGCTTAGAATGGAATTTAAAAAAAGATGAATGAACTTATTATTCAAATAAATAATTAATTTATATTGGTACCCTATTTAACTTTATCACTGGATTTTTTCCACTTTTCCCCATTGAACATTTTGAAAACCTTAAAATTGAATTACCATGTAGTACCCCAAGTACCCCAGAACTACATCTCAAAAAAAAACATACTACTGCTACTCTGTGAAATGTAAAGTTCGTCTCTACTATACCAATTCTGCGTGATGAGTGTACGCGGTAGCTTATGCCACTTTGAGAATTTTATTACAAATTCAAAGTGCTTTAGGCACATTTAAAGAGCTTGAAGCACATTTAAAGAGCTTGAAGCCCTTTTCAAGGCACCCCAAGCACTTTTGATGTGCTTCAAGCACTTTTCAAATCACTTTGAGGGCTTTGTGCTTGTCAAGCCCAAAGCACTTTGAGGGCTTTGTGCTTGTGAAGCACTTTTGAAAATAAAAAGGAATTTGTGCTTGAAATTGAAGCACTTTGATAGAGGGCTTAGGGCTTAGTGCTTCAAGCCCTTTTACTGAGGGCTTTGCCCAGCTCTGATCCCGACGTAGTCCTTTATTCACTATAAATGTGTCTGTTCTGTGAGTTTTTAACCTATCTTAATTCTTGATTGTGAGTCTTTAGCGTTGTTTTGGTTCGTAAATATGGGACGATTCTAGAATCAAGCAGAACTAAGTTGCGCACTCGCATCAATCTCAGAACCTTTCAGAACTGTTCGGAATCAATTCGTGAAAGTAGGTAATAAACTAAAACGCATTTTTGCATCACGTCAAATTCTCCGTTTTTGATTTTCATTTGATTACTAAACTGAAAATTGGGGTGCGGAACGTCAGAATAATTCCAGAACAGTTCCGAACTGCGTAGTCCAGAAACCAAAACAGCGAATCAAAAGTTCGGAATTGATTCCGGAAAAACCAAAACGCAAAATACTTTCTGCGCCTGTGCACCTTTTTTTATATAGTTCTTTGTTCTTTGAGTGCCGTTATATCTATAGGTGTGATTGATGTTGGATTGTTCTAATACCTTCCATATAGTCTGGATACTGGGACTGTATCGTACGCTTTTCGTAGGTTCACAATGTGGGGTGGGTTTCCAAATGACTAGCAGATTTTTTTTCTATGAATTGTTTTAGGCAAAATAGCAGGATTCTACCTTGTGACTGATATGCCTCGATAGTTATTGCAGTGCAGCTTATTTCCTTTTTTGTGAAAGGATGATATGAAAGCCGTTTTCCAGTCTTGTGGAACAGGATGTCGCATTTATTGATAATACATGTAAGATCTTTGAAGAGCTTCTCAGTTTCCCATTTCAGCATTTCGGGGTATATCCCTTCTGGGCCGCTAGCTTTACCTGACTTAAGATTCTTAACAGTCTTTTTTACTGTTTTTTCAGATATCTCAACTACTTCTCCATGTACTTCAATATGTCTTGGAGAATCTAATATATATTCCGGTCTACTTTCTTCTTGTGATAGACCCTTGTAGTGTTCTATCATTTGATTACCTGGATATTAGCTCTGTCCTTTCCTGGGTTTTTGACATTTGATATAAATCTCCATACCTTTGAGAATTTCCTTCCTCCTATGTAGGTGTTAATTTCTTCACATTTCTTATCCCATGACTCGATCTTAGCTATAGTTATATACCTAATGATAGATGTCATTACGGTATTCACTTTTGCATTGTTAAATACAAAGTTTATCATGGTTTTATAGATATTTTCGACATTCTTATTAAATTTTTTTCATCAAGCTGAAGGTTTTGAATGGTTCTGTTCTTGTCGATGTTCATTATTGCAGAGGCTATGACGGAAATCTGGTTTTTGAGAATAATTTCAAAATGTTTTCGTCTCAAGAGAGTTTCTGATATTAAGTGATTCAATTTAGTGGATAAGGGATTATGGATGATCCAGTTTTCTCGGTACCTAATAGAAAAATGATTGTTCCCCTTCACAGTATTTATTGATAGTGGAAAATAATGTTGCCAAAGGCTTAAGAGTTCTAATATGGCTTTTTTTATAGCTCATTGTTTGATAATCAGACAAGACACGCAGACGATATAAATTACAGAGACAAAAAGCTTTTGCAGCATGGCAAGTCATTAGTCAACTTGACAAGAGTAGTATGATATATAATTGACGTAGTGACGTGAATATAGTCACACATTTCAACATTTTGGCGTTTGCAATCCAATGCACGGGCTACGTAAATCACCCTGTATATACATAAGAGCGAAATACCACTGACTCATCACAGAATCTCCAAAACTATACGCACGATTGACTTTGAATGTGGCATATATTATATACACCTTTCCCGACGTAGACTCGCCACTAGGAAAGAATTGAACGTCTGAAATCTTAGTCTATGTAGAGTACAAAAAATTCACCCCAAATTGGTTAACGTGATTTTATTTCTGGAACTATAAGTCCAAATGAGCTGAAATTCTCAGGGATTGTAGTCCACCACGAGAATAAGAATCGCTGTCAAGTTTAACGTACACTTTATGTTAGTGCCTATTTGTCCCAACCGTAGAAATTCCAACACAACGCCCAAAGTTTCGAGGTCCTTGGAAATTAAATGAGGTGTTGGAAAATTATAGATATTGATTAAGCGCGATGTGGAAAACTTTCAGGATTCATAGAGCTTGAGGATGTTTGTGTAACTGAAAATATGAAAACGCAATTAAATTAAAACGAAAAAGGTTTATGGAAATAACCACGGCGCATTGGACCAATAGTTATCGCATAATCCAACCTGTTTTTTGTAAATATGTTTCTTGGATCATTCTTCGGAAACTTCTTCCCTTTTCATATAATACTTGTCTCTACCATTTTATTCTCCCTCATGTTGACGTATTTCGTATAAGACTTTTGTTGAAGACGAGGTTGAAGAGTAAAGAATTTTGCACTAAAACATGACGATATCAAGAGGCCGTTTTATATCACCAAATACAACTATCAACCTAAATAAAATTTTGTTATTTTTAGGTAGCCAACAGTCTGGACGCCAAATCGACCTCGATAGCCATAAGAATCAACCTGTTGACATTCAAAATTCAAGTGGCAGACAATGGTGAAGGCATCACCGAAGAAAACATGCATTTTTTAGGGCTGCGCCACACGACCAACAAATGCCGGAAGTACAAAGACCTTGAACACCTCAAAACTTACGGATACCGAGGCGAAGCTTTGGCCAGTATTGTGGAAATGTGTGAAAAAATGACAGTAACTTCTAGATGTGAAGAATCAAACGATACTTATTTTAAAGAATTGAGTAAAGCATTGAAAGGCAAAGTTAGTTTGGGTAAACATAGATCCAGTATCGGGACTACTGTAACTGTTTTGGGTTGGTTTAGTACGGTTCCAGTAAGACGACAGCGAATTATTGAGGAAATTGAGCTGGAAGAAGTCAAGAAAAATTTAGAAGCTTTAATAATTATCAATCCACAAGCATCGTTTAGCTTGAGGAACGACGTAACAGGCTTGCTAATTCTAAGCATTCCTAAAACCTCTGACATAGTCGACACGTTCAGACATTTACATCCAGAATTAAGCGATGCATTTACTCTATTAAAAGTCTCCAAAAGCAAAGTCACCGTGAGACTGTTAATACAAAAAGAACTGTTTTCCACAAAAAAGTTTCAGTACATATACGTCAATAAGCGACCAGTTAAATGTTCAAAAATTAAACAGCACATCTACAAAACTTCAAGTAACAATCCTAAAAACAAACAGTCGTTATTGTTCGGTAACAAAAAACATCCTGTGTACGTAATGAACATAAAATGTCCTCAAAAATGCTTGGACCTAACTTCAAAAGAGTTAGAGATGACTTGTTGGGACTTGGTTTTAACTTGCATCGATAAGTTGATCAAGAGATTTTTTGGATTCGAAGAAAAGGATAAACCTATAGTTAAAGCCAATAAGGAAGTGAAAGTTAATTGTGGCCTATCCAGGATATTTGGCGTAGTCGAAGCTACAGCTTATAAAAGAAAAAGCGATGAAATTGTTATGGAGGATACTGGTAAAAGAATGTGCTTGGATATGTTTAAACCAATAGAAGATAAAGAAGTTGCAGATAAAACAAAATCCAGTGCAACTGATGAGTTGAAGTCAATTGGAGAATCTCCTCCAAAAGAAAATTTAAAATCTACAAAATCAGCAACAGTTAGCGAAGAAAAATTTGATCAGAAATCGACCTATTCCAAGCTAAATGATGATGAAAATTTAGGCAAAAAGCTCATATTGGACATGTTTTTGAAATCGACTCAAGTCTATCCATCAGAAGAGGATATCAACGCAAGCGGAGAAACTATTCAAGAAGCAAACATGTTATTTGAAAATCAAATTGAAGACCCGATAAAGGGGACAAATACTACAATGTCCGTTAGCATTAATGTTAAAAAGAAGAGACTTAAGCGTAAGGCAAATGGAGTGCAAACTAGAAGGAAACCTTCAAAACGCATTTTAAAAAATCCTAGTGTTAATAATGTTGATGTGACGTCGAAAGCGGTGCAAACAAGTCTAGGCCTTTTGTTCCAGAGCCGTCAAGAAATGCACGAATTGACAGATACATTTCGGGAATTTTCTTTGGACAACAATGATGATTATACAGTGGCTATTCATCAGAATAATAAAGAGGGAGAATATATGTTTCTAAAGAAGAGAGTTGATGATAATAGTTGGGTTGCGCCACTGAAAGTTGTTCGCGGTGAATATGAGAATTATTTCAATTTTAAAAAACCCATGATGAATGAGGGTAATTATTTGCAAGGCATGCAAGAGGAGGATAATTACGAAAGATACAAAAAACCATTTAAACCACCAATAATGGAAGGTAATTATTTGCCTTTTCAAGACAAGCAGTTTGAGATAACAGAGGGTAATTGTGAGAGATTTAAGAAACCTCAACCAAGACCTGATCACCTGATAAATAGTGAGACAGAGGAAGGTAGTTGTTTGCCTTTTCGCGGTAGGCAAGAACAAGATGATAATGAACAATTTGTTCATCCGCTGAGAACTAAACCAATTTTGAATGGTAGGGCAGAGGAAGGTGATTATTTTTCTTATCGAGGTATCCTATTGCACCAAGAGAAAGAGAATTATGAAAAATTTACCAAGGCCTCAGAACATCCAATCAGATGTAAACCCATTATAAATAGTAGAGTAGGAGAAGGTAGTTATTTGCCATTTCACGGTATGCATTTTCAGCACGACGAAGATAATAGATTTAGAAAACCATTTGAACCTCCATTGATTAGGAATAGTAGGACAGAGGAAGGTAGTTTTTTGCCTTTCCACGGCATGCAGCCCCAAAGAGAAGATAATAATGAAAAGTGCAACAAACCCTTTGAACTTCCACTGAGACCTAAACCAATCATTTTCAATAGTATGGCAAAGGAAGGTAGTTATTGTCCTTTTCAAGGTATGGAATTGCAACAACAGAAGGATATTTATGGAAAATTCAAAAACCCCTCAGACCCTTCAATTAGATATGAACCGATTGTAAATAGTAGGACAGAGGAACTTAGCTCTTTGCCCTTCCACGGTATGCAATTTCAGCAGGAACAAGATAATAATAAATTCAAAAAGCCTTTTCAACCTCCATTGAGATCTAAGCCGATTCTAAATAGTAGGACAGGTGAAGGTAGTCATTTGCCTTTTCACGATATGCAGCAACAGCAAGAAGATGATAAGCATGAAAAATTCAAAGCTCCACCAATTTTCAATAGCAGGACAAATGAAGGGAATTGTCATTTTCGAGGCATGCAATTGGAGCAAGAGGAGGAAAATTATGATACATTTAAAAGACCCTCGGAACCTCCAATCAGATATAAACCCATTATAAATGATAGGGCAGACGGAATGCAATTTCAGGACGAAGAAGATAATAATGAAAAATTCAGAAAACGCTTTGAACCTCCGCTGATGTCTAAGCCAATTCATAACAACAGGGTAGAGGAACGCAGTCATTTGCCTTATCATGGTATGCAATTTCAACACGAAGATGATAATAATAAATTCAAAAAACCTTTTGAACCTCCATGGAGATCTTCAAATGGTAGGACAGAGGAAGGTAGATATTTGCCTGTTCAAAGTATGCAATTTCAGCAAGAGGAGATCGATTATGAAAACGTTGAAAAGCCCTCAGAACATCCACGAATATCTAAGCCAGTGGTAAACGAAGATAATTATAATTGTTTTCCTTTCCAAGGTATGCAATTTCAGCGAGAAGATAATCATAAAGAATTCGAAAAACCCTATGATCTTCCTCAAATATCTGCACCAATGGTAAATTGGATGATTCAGCAGAAAGAAAACATTTATAAAAAAATCAAAAAACCAAAAGGGAATGAGGGTAATCATTGGGGCATTCCAAAGATGCTTCGATTTGAGCTGCAGGAGAATAATAATTATGAAAAATTGGAAGAGAGATTTAATGAGGGTAATCATTTGGCTTTGCAACGGATGCAACAATTTGCACGAAAAGAATCTGAATATAAACATTTTAAAAATCCCTTAAAACCTTCATTAAGAATAAATCCAATGGTAAATAATGGCGATTGTGTGCCTTCTCGGGGCATGACGCTTGCACCAGAGGCACGTGGCATTACAAATTTCGAAAAACCTCCAGAACCTCCGTTAATATCAAAACAAATGGCACTTAAGGACAATTATTTTCAATACGCACACAAGGAGGATAATAATGACAAACTCAAACACTTTTCAGAAACTCCACTGATATCAAAACCAATGATAAATAAGTTGCCTTTTCAAAAAATGCAACAGTTTCAGTCGGTGAGTGAAACATTCCAAAACCCCATGGAACCTTCATCAAGATCAAACCCATTAGATAGAGTCAACGATGATAACTATTTGGCTTTTCCAGGTATGCAAGAGGATGTAAGATTCAAAAAAACTACAGAACCTTCATTATGGGTAAAACCAGCAGTAAAGAAAACAAGGGATAATAATTATAGGCCTATTCTAGGTATGCATCAGTTTGAACAAGAGAATGTATATGAGAATTTAAAAAAACCCGTAGAACCTTTACAAAGGCAGAGGGCAGTTGAACAAGAGAATATTACTGATAATTTTAGAAAACCCTTAGAGCCTGCACCAAGAGTGAATAGGAACTATTTGCCTCATACAGCAAAGTATCAGTTTGAGCAAGATAAAACTAATTATGAAAAGTTTCCGGACCCTGCAGAAGCTCTACAAAAGTCTAAACAAATAAAAATTGGTAGGGTGAAGGAGGGATATTACTTCCCTCCTAAAAACATGCAATTTGACCAAAGAAAAAATACGTATGAACATTTCCAAAACCCTCAGGAATCTCCACCAATGAACAGGTTACAGGAGAGTGATTATTTGCATTTTCGAGAAATGCAACAGCAGAATTATATCCAACATTTTAAAAAATCCTTGAAACCTTTACCAATAAATAATTTTGTGCAGGGCATCCACTTACCTTTTTCATGCCTGCAACAGGATGCACCAATGGCGAATGAGTACAATTGCTTGCCTTTTCAAGGCATGCAATTTCAGCAAGAGGAGAATGATTATGAGAAATTCAAAAAACATCCAGAACATCCACTTGTATCTAAACCCAGGGTAAATAGTTGGGAGAAGGAATCTGATTATTTACCGTTTCAAGGCATGCGATTTGAGCATGATTATGAAAAATTTAAAAAACCCTCAAGACCACCACTAGTATCTGAACCAGTCTCAAATAGGGTAAACGAGAACAACTATTTATCGTTCCGAGGTATTAAAAAACTTTCCATTCCAAGAACCAACCACATTTCAGGGCCAAGTCCATATTTCAGCAAAAAGAATAAAGGATTCAAAGATTCCAAATCCAACAATAATTGCATAAAATCTCCAACAAATTCAACAATAAGTAACTATTTCAAGGAAAATCCTCAAGGAAATTGTTATCTAACAAATAATGTTCAACCTGAAACCCCAGAAAACTATCAAAATATCCAAGTACCTTATAGTAATTGTCCTCAAAGACAATGTATTGCGCCTCAGGGAAAAGAAACTGTCAACCCAAATAGTTACTATTATCCTAAAGAAAACGATAACCAAATTTTTGAAGCACTGCCTGAAATTGTTCCAGATGATGCTCTGGAAGAGCCTCCTTGGCTCACACCAAACGTTTCAAATGACGATTTTTATATGGAGCGAAGCCCAGAAGCAAAAGATCATAATGAAACTTATAATTATTCGCCCAATATTTTCCGTACTGAGGCTCAACCAGCTCAAAAAGAGGATTTCTACGAGAAATCAGGCTCCAAAAAGTTTGATTTCAATATTTTCAGCAATAATGAAATTCAAACTCAAAAAGAATTGGGTAGTTTTTGCGATTTGCAAGATTTCGGTTTTACTGGTTCGAAAAATCAGGCGAGCAGCAACTTGGAAATCAGTATTCCGAACAAGGATGGACAAAGGGAGATTATCCGAAAGGATTTGTGTGACTTGCGAGGAAATAATTTTGAACTTGGCTCATTGGAATCTGACTTAGTGGTGGAGGAAACAGAAAAGTCTCTTGAAAAAAGTAGAGTTATTGTCAATTCACAAAACGAATGGTTGAGGCATGTAAATGATAATGGAGAAAAGTTTTTCTACAATAAAAGAACCGGTAAGTTAGTCTAAAGTAAAGCATAAGTACACCGAATTCAGTAGTATGTAAAAATGGAAACTTAATTTTCAATGTGATATTACATACATATTAGGATTAGGTAAATTTTCAGCCCTGAAATAGGTACCTATAGTCCCTTTTAGGTATGGTATCCGTTCAAACGCCCAAACTATCTCAAACAAAATTCGACTTTGACGAACGGTTAGATTTCGTGCCTAAAGGCCTGTCTCCGGCGTTGAAAGGCCACAAAAAAGTTGAGAAACTGTTGAGTCAAAAGGCCAAAAACAAACTGCACGATTTGATTTTGGAAGGTTACGAGGATGAGCTAATGGTTATTAAATGGCAGAAATTTATTGGAAATAGTAATAATTATATTTATAGTAATCGGACATTGCGTTTCTAATAATATTTTTAGGTCCGAAAACATTCTTTGAAAACATATACAAAGAAAAGACGAAACAGTTTGATGCAAACATACCTAGTGTACATGAAAATGCCCTAAAAATACCCAAAGACTTCGTCAATTTTGATAATAAAATGTTTAAAAGTTTGAGGGTTTTGGGGCAACTAGATAAGAAGTTTATAGTTGTCTATGAAACAACTAAAGATTTGTTGATTTTGTTCGATCAACACGCTGTACACGAACGAATAAGGGTTGAGAGATTAACAAAGGGTAAGTATTTGCGTATTGCGAGTGGATTTTCAAAAATTGCTTTATGATTTTTCATTTTTAGAATACAAAGGCATCAAAACGCCTTACAAGGGACAATTGACAATATTTTTGCAATACAATGACTTGTCCCTCTTGAAAAACAATGTAGAATATTTGGAGTCTTTAGGCTTGGGGGTTAATTTTATGACTAATGGATTACATGTTACTGATATACCTCTTTGTATGCAAAAAGATGAGACAAATTTTGAAGACCTAAACAAAATCCTCAATTTTCTAATAAAAGATACGGTGGAAGTTTTGAAAGTCAGTCGCGGTTCCGCTGGTACGATGATGCCTAAGATTCTGCAAAATATTATAAGTTTAAGAGCGTGTAGGGGTGCCATTAAATTCGGGAATTCTTTGACTGAAGTTAAATGTCGCAGTTTGTTGAAGGAATTATCGAAATGTATGTTGCCTTTTCAGTGCGCTCATGGCAGGCCGACTTTAAGTCCTATAGTGAGTTTAGACAAAATTGATGTTCGAATACAGGTAAGAATAATTTATTTGAAGTAATTTTGTTCACTAAGTATTTACGGGATGTAGAATAAGGTATCTGTATTTTTTGTATATACCTAGATCTACGGACTAAGCACACAAAACTTTAAAGGAAAACTGGTTTGCCATGACGTACTAGTGTCCCCCATTAATAAACTCGCCCACATTAAAGAACAGTGTTGAGTGTTACCATCTATTAGACAGAAGTCTATCTGGACGGTGTCGTCCTCTATTAGAGAGATACATAAATCTGAGCATTTTTGCTAGAATCTTAGGAATTTCAGCATATTAAGTACCTACCTACAAGAAACAGTGCCGCACCCAGGTTTTTTATTTGGGGGGGGGTTCATAATGATGAAGGCTCGGCGCAGGCAGGCGCTGCCATAGGAAGGTCTATAAACCTAGCAGTCCCAAAGTGGAAAAAAACTTCGGGAACTATATAATAATTAGGTGCTTTTTAGGTGCTAATTAGGGCCTCTAATTAAAAATTAGGTGCTCATTTAGTTTTTGAGAAAATCAAAAAAAACTAAGGGACTGCTAGGTTTATAAAAGCTAGCAGTCCCCTATAGTAAAAAATATTTTTTCAAATTTTTTCTTTGTATCAGAATTAGGTGCTTTTTAGGTGCTCCTAAATAGTCCAAGAAAAAATAGAATTGATTAATTATTAACTGAGTTACAGATTTTTTTTAATTATTAGGGGACTGCTGGCTTTACGTTTACTTGTTGGTGTGTCAGAATGGCAAAAAAAACTTCGGGATCTATATAATAATTAGGTGCTTTTTAGATGCTAATTAGGGCCTCTAATTAAAAATTAGGTGCTCCTCTAGTTTTTGAGAAAATCAAAAAAAAACTAAGGGATTGCTAGGTTTATGAAAGCTAAAAGTCCCCTATAGTAAAAAATATTTTATTTAGAGTTTGTATTTCGTCTGGAATGTAGTTTTCCAGTGACACCATTCCTTCGCTGCATTTGATGAGCTGGGATCAGTATCAAATCTTCCAGGAAAACATAAAAGTGTATCACAGTCTCCACCCAACAAAAACTGAGTGGTTGAAGGTCTTTAAAAGTAGGTATAAAAATACCTTTCATGTCGTTGAAGACTGTGGTTTTTATAGGAAGAACATGGGAAGAGCTAAACATTCGCTGTCCTGTCGAGCAAGATTGAAAAAATCAAGACTTTTGAGGATTTTGAACAATCCTTTAAAAAAACCTTTATTGGTAAAAGAGAGAGAAATGAAGACCAGATTATAAGAAGGAAATAAAGTTTAGCAAATTATTTCCACGAGAAGAGTAAATTATGTGACCACCTGCAGTTATCATAATTCAAGAAGCTCAACAGCAAACTGTTATTCAACTCTTTGATAAAACATTATGTAGCTACAGACAAAACTTATGACGATGAAGATAATCTTCCATCTTGAGAAGAATATGAAACAATCCAGGAAAAAAAAAATCTGAGTCCGACAGTGGCGTAAAATGGAAGGAGGACAAGAAATAGAGAAAAAGGAAAGTAAAAAAATATCTCCATCAGAATTTGAGAAAAACTATGACGGAAAAATGAATGAAAACACTGGGACAAAACCAAAAGTACTCCTATTGTGTAGAGAATGACCAATGAAAGTTTGTTAATTGGGAAAAGTATGCTGTAGAGTCTAGTTTGTGGACCTAGACATGAACTAAACTTTTTTTCAAATTCTGTCTCTATTTCTGAAACTTTCATGCCCTGTTGTAATTGGGGTTTATAAAAGTTACTGCAACTCTAGTTCAACAATTTTTTTTTGCAGGTCAGACATCCGAATTTGAAGAAATTGCTAAGGAACTGAACATTTCATTCTCAAATAATAAATAGGACTGGTAATGTTGGAATATTGTGATATTTACATGGTTACTACATATCTATATCAGTATAGCTACCTACTTGTTAAGAAATTATTTTTGACGTTTTTTGTTAGTTTTGAAATTTTGGAAGCTTTGTGGGTAAAGTTTTAGTTACGGGTTTCAGCTGATTGTTGAGCAAATGCTTATTTCAGAAATCGATATTTGTTAGTAAGTTTGATTATATTATCTTATTGTTTGGAGAAAACTTATTTATATACAATGATAAATTTAAGTTTATTTATTTGTACTTTATGGCAAAATTAGTGTTATACTATTTAGGTACCTATTTATTTATGTGTTTAGGCCTAAGTTAGAAAATTTATCAATCAATCTTTATACCGGGTGTTTTTAAAAACCCGCTCACCCCTATAACTTTTTTATTTTTCCAAATAAACAAATGAAATTTGGTGTGTTTATTTATGACCCGGATGTGCATTTTTTGACGTATTCAATTATTTAATATCATTTCCGGTTTCACTGGAAGTGACCAGAACTTTCCTATTTTAAATGAGACGCCAGGTATATTTTTCCTCATTTCAATAGAAAACTACATTACGAGTACAATGACACTTCATTTGTCACTTTTTGACATTTCATCTCCAAATTATTTAAATTTTTACTTTTTAATCTAGAGCGCCATGAATTAGTTAAATGTTTAATTTTGCTCCAAGGAACCTGGGAAAATTTGTTTTGATCTTATTTTGTATTTTATATCCTCTACAGAGTCATTACAAAATATTAGAAGTGCATTTTTCTAATTATCTCAATTTTTTCAAATGGAAAGGGTGTGGCTCATTACAATATTCCAAAAGAGCGTTTTCTAACGATCAATTCAGTACCACACAATCGCTAGTTCATCACTCAAATGAATAATTTTCCTAGCATTCTTAATATTTTTGGAAAATTTTAGTTCAATATTTGAATAAACTAGCGATTGTGTGGTACTATAGTTTGTTCGTTAGAAAATGCTCTCTCGGAAAATGCTAATGAGCCATATCCTTTCCATTTGAAAAAGTTGATATAATTCTAAAAATGCGCTTCTACTATCTTTAAATGAGTCTGTTGAGGATATAAAATACAAAACAAGATCAAAACAAATTTTCCCAGCGTCCTTAGAGCAAAATTAAGCATTTTAACAAATTGATAGCGCTCTAGATAAAAAAGTAAAAATTTAAATAATTTGGAGATGAAATGTCAAAAAGTGACAAATGAGGTGTCATTGTATTCGTAATGTAGTTTTCTATTGAAATAGGGGAAAATATACCTGGCGTCTCATTTAAAATAAGAAAGTTACGGTCACTTCCGGTCAAACCGGAAGTGATAATAAAAAATTGAATGCGTCAAATAATGCACATCCGGGTCATAAATGAACACACAAAATTTAATTTGTTTATTTGGAAAAATAAAAAAGTTATAGGGGTGAGCGGGTTTTGAAAAACACCCGGTATACCAAGGGTATACCTACCTGATTAAAATCTTTATACAACTTATTGCTTTGTATTTTATTATTATTATTATTTACAAGAGAATCGGTTTACACTGAATATTATTGTGTTCTCATATTATTTCTTAGAAATGAATTCTAAAAACTCATTTACAGATCTTACTACCTTTACTCTCATCCATAGAATACTCTCATCCTGGATCCCATGTTTCGAAACTGACGGCATAAGTTACGTAAGAAAATCATGCGAACACCGAATAGAGCTTAAAAATATGGATTCTGCACATTAAAATTTGAAAACCCATCCAGGTGATTCACTTTACCCATACTGATTCACTTAACCCCGTTTGACGGTACTTGGTAGGTACTTTATAGGTGCACGATGTAAACTAAAAATACATTATTATTTCAAAACATAACTTTCAACAAAACAGTATGAAATAAAATATTGTACAGGGTGTCCCATTTTGGTTCTCCATAGGATAACTCGGTTGCTATTGGAGTTAGAAGGATGCGGTTTCCACGAACGATGGCTACTTTTTTGTCAAACGAAAGATGGCGCCAACAGAATTGTCATCGCCCTTTTTGTTTTTCAAATACAAGGTGTTTTTATATCTAGTATCTTGGTTCTCTCATAAGTGCTTGAAAAGGTAACATCAGATTCCTATAGATAATTTTACGTAGACTCCAGTGGTGTAGCTAATTTTTGTCTAGAAGTGATAGTTTTCAAATTATGAACCAAACATACGTTTTTCTAATCAAGACACTCTGTTTAATAATAGCTCATTGTATAGCTCTGCTTTTGCTGATTTCAATGATATAAAGTTCGATAGGTTTATCTCTATCCTGTCTGTTTTTGTCATTAGAAACAATGTGTCAGAAAAGAACTTTGCATCTGTAAGGAAAATGAGAAAGGTCTCTTTCTACTAACACATTGTTTCTTATGACAAAAACAGATAATAATTTTTTGCTCAAAAACTGTTCGAGATAATTCTACCGAATTTTATATTATTGAAATCAGCAAAAGCAGAGAGCTATCCAATGAGTTTATAATACAGGGTGTTCATTTTAAAACTTACCACCCCTATTATCTCGGAGTTGAAAAATTTTCCTAAAAACACATCAACTATAATTTGAAGGGGGATGAGGTTTCATGCAAAATTCACCTCCAGCCTTCCAACCCTCAAGCGCCACCCTCTAGAAAATCTTAAATGGGATGGGGGGTCAAGTGATACGTCATTTTGGAGGATTTTTAATTCCATTTTTCGGTACTAAATTTTAATACCTAAGTTCAACTGTTTTGGAAATAGACAGTTGAAAATTGACTTTTTTGCAACTTTGACAGGCTGTAAAACTTAAACGGTTAATTTTAGAAGAAAAAAAACGATCTTATATATTCCTATCTTAGATTTTCATAAACTATCATTTGACACCAATTTGGAATTTAACCGAAAATTAAATTTAATTGGAATCATAGATTTAGGTTTGACAGCCTGTCAAAGTTGCAAAAAAGTCAATTTTCAACTGTCAATATTTCCAAAACAGTTGAACTTAGGTATTAAAATTTATTATCAAAATGTATGGAATTAAAAACTCTCCAAAACGATGTATCACTTGACCCCCTTCCCATTTAAGATTTTCTAGGGGGGTGGGTCTGAGGGCTGGGGGTTGAAAGGGAGGAGGTGAATTTTGCATAAAAACTCATGCCCCTTCAAATTATAGTTGACGTGTTTCAGGGATTTTTTCGAAAATTTTTCATTTCCGAGATAATAATAGAGGTGGTAAGTTTTAAAATGAACACCCTGCATATATGTTTGGTTCATAATTTAAAAACTATTACTTCTAGAGAAAAACTGACTAAGCCACTGGAATTTACGTAAAAATATCTATAAGAATCCGTTATCACCTTTTCGATCACTTATGAGAGAACCGAGATAAAAGAGGTTTTCCAAAATAAAATGCAACTTTTTCAAAAACACCTTGTATCTGGAAAACAAAAAGGGCGATGACAATTCTGTTGGCGCCATTTTTTGTTTGACAAAAAAGTAGCTAAAGTTCGTGGAAACCGGATCCTTCTAACTCCAATAGCAACCGAGTTATCCCTTATGGACAACCGAAATGGGACACACTGTACATTTTTCATCCAGGAAAACTTTCACAGTATTTGTTGCAAAATTCTGAATTCTGCTAAAACAGTGAGCTATTGACTTGTAACAATTTTTTCTGGAAAAGCTTTGATATAGTTTCAGTGCAGCTCTCAAATGTTCCTGTTTGTCAAGGAACAAGTCATGTCCATTGCTTTCTCAAATATACACAGATTGCTTTAAAAGCCTTTCAACAGAGGTTTTGAACAATTTCTACAGAACAGGAAGTGTTGTTAAGATGTCGAAAGTTCTGATAAAAATGAAAGGTTGGTAATAGCTAGGTTGATTTTGGTGCTTAGAGAGCCAGAGTAGTTCAAGAATTCCCCTACTTGGAAATAATACTCTAGCCGTAAAAATCACGTACCTTTGGGTGCTCAAACAGTTTTGGAGCAACTACTTCTACATTCTCCCTTCAAAATCTACAAAATAAAACCAAAATTGTTTCTCAAAATTTTAATCAGTACTCACTCATGTATGTAACATAAATTTAATACAAGCAGGTACCTAAACTTATTAAAAAAATAAAAACGGAATCGGATTATAGATAATACAGATCAATAAACTCAAAACTTTGTTTTCCAACATCACACTGAGCGATAATCTCCACAAAAATTGATAGGTTTTCTGGTATTTTTATCAGAATTAATTCAAAAAAAAAAAAGGACAATTATGGAATCATTTAAATATTATTAATATTATAATCTTGGTTTCTGAAGCATATTCTAACGCATTCTGTACCGGTTCTCTTCGTGAACTTCACACAGCTCCCCTTTAAAGTCTAACTTAATAGAAAAGTCCAAATCCCTGTTGTTTCTCATGTTGGGTTTCATGGTAAAAGTACCGTGAACCTCTTCGCCTTTCTGCACAGTCATGTAATCCTCAAAATAGAAAACTGTTTGTTTCCAATGAGTATAAGGAGCATCGGGAGCTGTAGTAAACCCAATTCGTTTGTGGCATTTTGTAAATTCCACAGTGAAATAAGTGACTAAAGCTTGAACGTAGTCGTTTCTTCTGACGCCCAATGTGAAGTTCGATGAGAAATCCAAGTCTTGTTTTTTCACTGTATAGAGGTCCACTTCTTTGACCAAAGCAGGACTCGTAACCACTTGTTTAGGGTCTACAACGTCGACTAAAGGTTCACTAATTGCCACCTTTCTAATTGAACTCATATCGAAACCATAAACGTCATCCCACCAATTAATTTTTTCATCTTTGTATTGACGGTCTTCAATAGCAGTGATGAACAAAGAACATCTATCAGGGAAGAGTAAACCGTCTGGTTTTAGCCATTTGTCTCTGGGGGAAAAAAATTGAAGGTGAAGAATCAATCCCACTATTTCTATAATGGTAAAAATGCTTTTAGATTTTAAATGACCTGAACAATCTCAATAATGCCTTCCTTGACTGTTAAGTGTGCAATTTACACAACTTATCATAATAATTTATAGATGTGAAGGTATAAATCTGCATCCTTTGTTAAAGTATATGTCCAATTTAAAAAAATAATAATTACCTAGCGAAAAGAACTGTATCCAACATGCTTTCATAAAACAAGCAATAACCCATCCATTCTGATATAATAATATCCACCTTTTCAATGCCATCAGGAAGAGTGATTTCTTCTACTTTACCTGAAATTAAATTTTCCATATTATGGCTCATACAATCCAAAGAAAAATTAAGCCCTTACCCTTGATAATAGTGATGATGTGATCTAACTTATTAGCTTCCACAATAGTCCTTGCATATTCTACAATGTTGGAGCACTCCACAGCAATTACCTTCTTAGCGCCAGCTTTAGCAGCAAACATACTCAAAATACCAGTACCACAACCTAAACAGAATAAAATATAACGCGGATACATAGGCGGGAGTATTTTACTGACCTATGTCCATGACAATTTTGCCATTGAAAAGATGCTTATTGTGGTACATTGAATTCCTATAGGTAAGAGTTCGGACTTCGTCCTTCAACATTTCCTCGTGAATTCCGAAATGAGCATAGGAATCGAAATAGTAGTCCCTTGAAGTCATTTCTTCAGCTGGGACATCTTCCATTTTTTCGTCTTTTGTGACGTGATTGGTTACCGGAGTGATTTCCATTGTTTCCATTTGAGTATCAAAAAACTAAGAATTTTTAAAAATATTCATTAATTTAGTGTCTTGTCTAGTGTAGTCAAATGTTAAGAATAATCCCCAACAATAACATCTTTGTTGTTACTTTTTCAAAGCAAAGTTGGTGCCAAAAATGTTTTTTTTTTTTAAGCCCAAGTTCATGTGATATAAAAGATTTGTTCCAAGAGCAAGAAACTGTATGCCACCAATTCTGCGCAAAAGCTTAAAATTTGTTCCAAATTCATATACAGAGTGGTTTGGAAACTGTTCAAGGGGCGTTTTTTGAAGGGGTGAAACAGGCCTAGAGTTGATAGATGCTTTCATAAATGGATTAGGAGAGGATTTGCATGTCTTTTGTTTTAATCAGTAATACATGCAGTTTGATACAAAAAAGTTCTAACTTTTGCTTGGCGCATTTGCACTAGATAATAGGTCTGTTCGTGCAGAAATCACAAACCAGTCAGAGTTAATTCCATTGGTTGAAACTAGTTTTCAACCAATGAAATGCGCTCTGACTGGTTTGTGATCTCTGCACGAACAGACCTAATATTAGTCAAAATAGGTACTTCATTAGGGCACTGAATTAAATTTGAAAAAATTCAAGTTTTCTGTTGGGGTCTACTTACAAATAATTCTAGGTATAGTAAACGGAAACAAATATATTTCTTAAAAACCTTTGAGCCTGAAATTACACAAAATCCTTTAACAAAGGCTTTAAATATTGAATCAAAAGAAAACCTAAATTCCGGTGTTAGGGTTAAGCCACCCCTAGCTAGAGCAATAGGATGCAATAAGGCTTTTTCTCTACTTGTAAATTTAAGGACCATACAGCTATAAACACATGATTCTAATGAGTTCCAGGCTATGTTTATTAGCACTGGTGGAAACGATGAAATCTAATTAAAAATGAAAAATATAAAATGCCGGCTGAAGTCGCCCAGATACACAATAAAACACGTGTATTATACACAAAGAAATTCTTACCAGGTGTGCGGCGATTGTGGGAAAAATACAAAAACACTTGAAAAACTTGGGAGAAACTTCTATTAATTGTAATTAGAAGCAGGTTTTCGCGTTATATGAGTTTTTTTGGCGCCGAAACCAACAACGAGTACGATGATGGTTTAGCGTTTTTTTGTTGAAAATGAAAAGGACGGGGACAATTTTGACTTTGACGTTTGACATTTTGGGTCTTAGGGATTTTTCATTTTTCATTTGGTTACTTTTTTATAGCGGTTTCCTTTGGGCGAACCAGTGCTGCACTCGGATTGCACTGGGAGTCAAACAGTTCTCTCGAGAATAGAGCAAGTTCCAATGAAATAAAGATTAGACTAAAAACATACTTTTTTTATAGAATAAGTTCCTAATAAATCCACTGGCGTAGCCAGGGGGGGGGCAAGGGGGCATTTGCCCCCCCCAAGACCCTTAAATTTTATGAATATTTCTTCAAAATTAAGATAAACAGTCCCAAAAATAGCGTAAAGAAACCTGAAAAAGGGGCGTGGCACCCAAAAATTTCGCGCCTGCGGCGCTTTGCCTCTGGCAGCGGTCGCGGTAGGGCCGCAAAAGACGCTTCCTGCAAATTTGCCCCCCCCCAAGACAAAATGCTGGCTACGCCACTGAATAAATCCCTCAATTTCTGCTAAAGTTTTTCAAAAATAATAAGCTTTCTTCGTCTTCACTTTCATCACCTCTAAGAATCTGAAATTTACGGTTGCACCTGATGTTGATGCGACCCTGGGCTGAGATCATGACAAGTAGAATTTTACTAGAATTCTACTTTCATGGCGTCAAATTGCTCAGCAACCATCATCATCGCCTGCAATGTACGCGATAAATGAATCGCGAGTGACGTCATGAAAGTAGAATTCTACTTGTCGTGATTCCAGCCCTGGCTATAGTTTAAAAAATCGTTCTTTTTAGGCAAGACTGACAGGGGAGCAGCGTTCTCATGAGAACGAAGGTTCTGTCTTCGTCGTACGTATTCATATTTCCATAACACGGAAATGGCAGAGCAATCGTTCTCATGAGAACACTTCTCCTCGGTTTCGAGAATAAAGTCCCAGGAGTCACAAGCTTCGAAGCTATTCGTTCGGAGTAACTCTAAAAAGAACCCTTTTTTAAATCCAAGTGCTCCATGTTTCACATTGGCAATAGTTGTATTCCTTTCACACCTAGGAGGAGCTCCGGAAGAGCTCCGGGGCTTCACGCGCTTATTCCTTTCGAAAAGTGTTTGTTGCACCACGCATCTGTTCCCTACAAATCGGGGGCGACTAAACACCGGAGCGAGTAGCTCAAGTGTTTCAAACTCTTGAAAGGAATACAACTATTGAGATCGAACCCGTGATTCAGAATCAAGCCCAAACAAGATTGGTTAAAGGGGTCAGAGAGAACGCTTCTCCTAAAAAATTTGAGTCACTCGGAGTGACTTGCAAATGTAAAGGTGCTAATTAATAAGATCGAGCATTAACAAGCTTGAATCCAGTCTGCAATTGGTGGTAGTGCCCAATGATTGAGAATTCGGGTTTTTCTAATGTCTTATATAAATAGCAAAACCGCTCGAATTACATAAATCTGACCGTGTCAGAGTGATACAAACTAATATAAGTAATTAACAGTGTGTTGAAGCTTCGGTAAAATCACTTGTGTTTTCCAAAAACCCTTTTCACGTGGCTCCGGTTTAACAATCCGCAACATACCGCTCAAATTCGAGTGGCAGGTATCCATCGCGTCACTTTGTAACCGGGTTAGAAAACGGTATGTCATTTCTCTAACCGTTTTGTAACCCGGTTAGTTAAACCGGAGCCACGTGAAAAGAACTATTGAAATTTCAAAAATCTTTGATTTGACACACTGTCAATTTCTTTAATATTGAAAATTTATTTTCAAAAATCTTGATTTTTCGAATATTATTATAATCCAGTCTATAGGGCAGTTTAATGTTTGACGTTCAAGATGGCGTTGCGACGACAAACTACCGGAACTAAACTTTATCGCGCTCTGCTCGGCTTAGTTCGGAAAAATTATGCTGGGAGACAGGTACTGACTAGGCGAATTCTGTTCGATGAGACCATTGAGATAGGATGGGACCAAAATGATATAATGATTATTCACGTTGGGAGGTTCTCAACCGAATAGAGTACGTTCTCTCGAGTCGGCAAAAGGCGTGCGGGTGACGTCACCACTATCAGCAGCTAATGGATTGCTTGCGATTCAAGCTGTGGTGAGTTAATTTTTTCGTCGATTTTGAATATAGAAAAGGTGAGTTGAACGTTTACGAATCCGTTTTTTTGATCCAAGTATAGTGTTTTGAACTTTGATAATTCATTTTACGTCAAAGCCCAAGAATTGAGGTCTGCGGCTGACGTCACAAAATGTGGGACGTTGTCGCGTGGACATGGCAGACACTTTCAGCTCAATAAGCAGTCCTATTTGGAGTGTTCTTGGGCTGCGTCCACTGTTTGTAACCAATTAAATTATGAAAAGGGTGATTACTTTTCGACCAGAATTTCTTTAAAGCGAGAAGTTATGACGTCATTGTGAAACTGTTTTAAACCAGTTTTGAGACTCGAGAAAACATCTCAAATCCGATTCACCAATAAATTGCCGGACATCGGGTATCACGCGTGTTGCTAAATTCAGCTGATGTAGGCACCGTGGTGGAATGATAGAAAAATCAGTGTTGTTAAATTAAACAGGGTTTGGCATTGGCATGAGTAAATTTCAATCACCGCATCCGTGGCAGTACAACATTTTGGTGAATTTAGCCAAGGATGATACACAATACTACTACAGGATAGCCTATCCTAATAAGGCCTGTGTGGAACAAATTCCTTCCTTCTCCGCGCCAAATCACCAGTTGTGACGTAGCAGCATGTTATTTCTCGGCTTGACATAGGCTGTTTAAACAGCTGTCGAGTTAGTTATGACGACGGAAATGATGACAAACTAATATGACGGCGAGTACCAAAAACGAGACCGATCAGCAATCCCTGTAGGTGTGTATCATCCTTGGAATTTAGCAACACCCGGATTTAACCAAATGGGCATTTTCCAAAATTCACCGGTTTCTGAACCGGTGGGGATAAGGAATTTACTCACCAGTCTGTTCCAAAGTGAACCCTTTTTAGCGGTTGAACCCGATCGTCCGTTTCAAAATTAACCGAAATATCAGCTGTTTGAAACCGGTGAGCCACCGAATGCACCGAGAAATTTTTGTCGGTCGAGGATAATACACACGACTACTACAGTATAGCTTATCCTCATAGGGCCTGTGTAGTTCAAACCTCAAGCCCCCCACCTAAGGTTGTGTGAAAGGGGTGGTTGCCTGAGAACTTTTATGACGTCATATAGGGTGCCTCAACATCAAGGTGACTAAAGTTAATAATAGGTTAGGTATCTGGTGATTGGTAATAATAGGTTATCTGGTGATTGGTAACTTAATGAAGCATCTGGAATGACGTCATAAAGTTATCAGAAAACCTACCTTTCTCAAACAGCTTTGCCTCAACATAATGCAAAATGCACCCCAGATGCGTCATCAAGTTACCCATTACCAGACAAGACACGCTTACCAGTTAAAACCAACTCGGAGGTGACTCGCTATTGAGAAGCCGGCCCTAGCACAGCCTGGATCGCAAGCATTCCATCGAGGTCTGCGGTTGACGTCATCACTAAAAGGTGCTGATAGTGAGGCCGACCGCTGGCGCAAACAGCTGACGATTTAGTTAATGACGTTCCCAATGGTACTACACTAATATAGCCGCGATTACCGAAAACGAGGACGATAGTATTCCTTAGTAGTGTGTTATCCTTGATGAATGGGCATTAGTTGTATTCCTTTCAAGAGCTTGAAACACTCGAGATACTCGCTTCGGTGCTTAGTCGCCCCCGATTTGCAGGGAAGATATGCGTGGTGCAACAAACACTTTTCGAAAGGAATAAGCGCGTGAAGCCCCGGAGCTCCTCCTAGGTGTGAAGGGCAACTATTATCGGCAGTCGTTTGTTACTTGCAGATTACAGAATGAAAAAATGTCTGGTTGCGTGAACAATTTTATCTTTATTCAATTTAAATATGAACTCTATAAACCAAGCACTCAACTCAACTCAAATTATCTTTAAAAATCGTATTGAAAACTGCCGTTTGTTAACTGTTAAAAATAATAAAAATCAATACCAAATATTACTGCACCCACACACCCCACCACACCATACATTCCAATTTCCAAACAGCAAACAAGACAACCAAACTTTTAATACACCAAATCGTTTCAAAAAGCATCAGAAAAATCTTGTTACCGGATTGATCAAAAAGCGATCCGAAATGGATTCACAATGCTGTTCATCTTCCTTGAGCAACAGAACGCTCTCAAATCTCACATGGAGTGCCCTTTTTTGCCCGCGAAATTTGTTGAATCTAATAGTGCTTTCGACTCTTGCCTCAAAACTGACACCGATTGATAAAAAAATAAATGCCTTCGTTTGGATTATAATCGCTCTTGGAGCACTCCCGCAGAGATCTGTGACGACACCGCCCAGACGGGGAGGGCTTTGGGAGCAGTAAGGGTGGAGTTTCATGCATCCGTTTTTCCGACGAAAGATGTCCGAAAAACATTCTATTCTGACATAATCGTATAAAAATATGTCAAAATAGAAGATTTTTCGGACATATTTCGTCGGAAAAACGGATGCATGAAATTCCGGCCTAAAGCCTAGTACTCATAACTGCGAAATTCGCATTTTTGTGACATTGCGTTGACAATTTGACGTTTTAAGCGTGTATCAAACGTCAAATTGTCGAACCAATGTCAAAAAAATGCGAATTTCGTAGTTATGAGTACTAGGCTAAAGCTTAGTACTCAGCGACACTACCGAGTTCAAGAAGCAGAGGTACTGAGAAATCTTGACGATTTTAATTGTATATTCACGTATTGGGCATTGGAAGCAAACTAGAGAATGAAATGGTAAGGAAAAAATGGAAACCGACCCTGGAACAATGCAAAAGAACTGGAAATTTTATAGGTTTGTTCCAACACGTCAAAAACCGTCTCGAAACCACTCTGTATACGAATTTTGGGTTCTACGCACTAGTTTTGGGCTTTGCGAAGAATCGTGACGGTACATTGTAGGGTTTCTTGATGTGTTGGTGCAAAGCTATTCAATATGAATAAAAATGTGTGTAATGGATACTTTTCAAATTTAACTTACAGAGAAATCGGTGAGCTCTTTTTTTATAAATCCAGAACAAAAAAAATTGTTCGAGATTCACCGAACTGTTTGGAATGACAAGTTTCGAATAGAACTTGTTTTGCTTCGAAGTGAATGAAAAACGGTTCGGAATAGAGTTGAACTTTCTTATTGCTCTTTATTGTTCCTTTGTTTAAGATCTTTTGCTCTGAGTACATGAGTGAAGAGCGAACCATTTTACAAGAAAATACGAAGAGTTAGGTTATGTTGGACTATGATTGTTTTGAAGATTTTTGCTAATTTGAAAAACTTTTCAAACAGTCCTCCACTCCAATGTAGTTATCAGTAGCTATAATTAGCAATTACAACAACTTTTGAGTTGTCCAAATACCTATCTGCTCAAGCATTTCCAAACTTCGAGGGTTCCAAAAAAGATACTCCATTCTCCAACCGAAATCCGAAACAAAGCACTTATTACATCACAAGGTGATTTAAGTAGTTTTAAAATAGTAGTGGGGAACAATGAAGATTTCACTTTCTCGGTTATAGAAAGTGAAATCCTGTTCGAATTCCTTCATTCATTCACAAACCGTCACCTTTATCAGTTCGGCAATACTATAGTGTTCGAGTGCTTTTACTACTGCAATCATCATGGGTTCATGGCCGGAAGACGTCGGCATCGTTGCAATGGAACTGATATTTCCGTCGCAGTACGTTGACCAAACGGAACTGGAAAAATTCGACGGAGTTTCTACTGGAAAATACACCATAGGACTGGGCCAGCAAAAAATGGCATTTTGCAATGATCGAGAAGATATTCACTCTTTGTGCCTCACAGTGGTGCACAACCTAATGGACCGCTATCACATTAAACCACAAGAAATTGGCAGACTCGAAGTAGGAACTGAAACCATTATCGACAAATCTAAAAGTGTAAAATCGGTTCTGATGCAACTGTTTGAACCCCATGGTGTAACAGACATTGAAGGAATTGACACAACCAATGCTTGCTTTGGAGGTACCGCAGCTGTGTACAATGCAATTTCTTGGGTCGAATCTTCTGCTTGGAATGGCAGGTATGCTTTAGCAGTAGCTGCAGATATAGCAGTATATGCGAAAGGTGCTGCAAGACCTACAGGAGGCTGTGGTGCTGTAGCAATGCTTATAGGACCAAATGCACCACTGGTTTTCGACAGAGGGCTTCGCAGTGTTTTTACCAAGCATGCTTATGATTTTTACAAGCCAGATTTGACTTCGGAATATCCAGTGGTTGACGGTAAATTGTCTGTGCAATGTTATTTGGAAGCTTTAGATAATTGTTATAGACAATATTTGGAAAAGGCTGAGAAAAAGTTGCAAAATGTTGTTAATGTTGATTGGTTTGATGGTATTTTGTTTCATACTCCGTATTGTAAGCTAGTGCAAAAATCGGTAGGTAGGTTAGCTTTAAATGACTTTATACGTTTGAATAATGAAGAGAAATTAGAAGTTTATCCTCAATTTGCAAAGGTTCAATTAGAAAATTCTTATTTTGATAGGGATGTTGAAAAAACATTTTTAACTGCCAGTTCAGGGGTTTTTACTCAAAAAACGCAACCCTCTTTATTGTTAGCAGCTAATCTTGGTAATATGTATACAGGTTCACTTTGGGGTGGCTTAGCTTCGTATATTGTCTCAAAAAATTTCAACGATTTACTTAACAATAAAATTGGCTTGTTTTCATATGGGTCAGGGTTGATGTCGTCATTTTTGTCTATTACTGTTAAAGACACTCCAGCACTAGCCACTTTAAAAAATAATCTTAGTTATGTACAACCTTTGTTGGATAAAAGAGTTGAAATTTCACCAGAAAAATTTGAGGCTACTTTAGAATTAAGGCAACATAGTGCTCACAAAGTTCCTTACCAACCTGTAGGTGATATAAGCCACTTTTTCCCAAGTACTTATTATTTGACTAAAATTGATGAAAAACATAGGAGGAGCTACGATAGGGTTTCAGGGACCATTCATTTAACTAATGGGCACTCTTAAAAACTACTTAAATTAGTAATTTTTACATTAATACCAAAGTGATGGGATAATAATAATTTGAAGGGAAAGTGAAAGTTGTTATGAAATAGATTCAAATAGTAGTTATTACTTGAAAGCTGGCTAATCTTATAGCTGACTAAATTCTCAAGATATACGGATTCTCTAGTCCTTTAAAGGGCTTGCAGTGAGATAGGTTTTCCTATGTCTGTTTAAAAAAAATGAGGCTGAAATATAGTGAATGGCCAGCGCTCAGGCTAGTCTCTGTTTACTTTCCAAGTTTTTGGTTTATTGATTAGAAATCTTATTGGAACAAAATCGACAATATTCTTATTGAACAAATTCTACACATTAATAGTCAAACAAAAAATTAGTTAGTTACCTCATTTGTATTGTATTTTATCTAGGAATTTAGGTATTTTTAACTAATTCATATGAATTTTTGTGCCAGTGTAATTCAGATGCAGATAGAACTGAAAGTATATTCTTTTTTTTTGCTTTGAGTCCAAATTTTATCTTGCTTTTGATGTTATTATTTGATTTGCCTGTATAAATGAGAAAGTCATATTTTCTCTTATTTATTGATAAGCTTTATTTCGAGCTTTATTTATTTTGGATTGGTTTACGTTTACACATTGTTACTTATGTATAATTATGTTAAAATTTTAATAAATATTTCAAAATAAAACAAGTGTTTTAATTGATATCCAGTATTTAGTCCTCCTATAATCAGTGTATTCTTCTTTGACTTGAGTAAAGTGAGGGTGATTTAAAATATCTTGTGCGATTTTTTATGTGTAAATATCTGCATAAATAAATTAGGGGTTTATATTTCCATCCATTTCCAGTTGTTTTCCTAAAAATGCTAAACTGATTGTAGCTGTCAGAATAATTAGACCCAATTATATTTTGGGGAGAAATTTAATACTTAAGAATTCAGACACATCAGTTATTTTGTATTCTGGGTAGGGTCATGAAATAAGCCCAAAAATTTAAACTAGGTACAACATTTTTATGTTGAAAATTTCAAAAATTATATTCTAGTAACAGTCTTCGATGACGACAATGGTGTAGCGGTCAGAAGAACAGTTCCTGGAAAAAAAAAGTAAAAATAAATATCCTTAGCTGGAAAAAATCGAGATTCTTACAGTTCCAAAACTTCAAACAATTAGGTATTTAAGTCTATGCTAATTGAAAAAACAATTTAATTTTGTGCTAATTTTGGAGAAACACAAAAAAACCACTTGATTATTCTAGGTAAACAATGTAAAAATTATTCAAACAATTATGCATTGCATTGGCAAAACATGGAAATATGTCGAATCAATGATTTTAACTTTAGTTGAACTTTTGATGTACTTTAATATTGAGATGTTTTTTTTGCCAGCTCATAACATACAAAAGTAATTACATTGAACCTTTAGGAAAAAGTCCTCAAAATTTCAACTTTCCACTCATTTTAGTTTTTGACTGAAAAAATTGTGAAGTTTTACTTTACAAAACATCGTTATTTAAAAAAAATCATAACTCCATTAATGAAAACTGAATGGCTTTGAGTTTTCGGTATTTTCCAGATTAAACCTTTAGGAAAAAGTCCTCAAAATTTCAACTTTCCACTCACTTTAGTTTTTGAGTGAAAAAATTGTTTGTAAAGTTTTACTTTTAAAAACATCATTATATTTAAAAAATCATAACTCCATTAATAATAACTCAATCGCTTTGAGTTTTTAATATTTTTTTTATGTCATACCAGTACATTCTTGTGTTTTTATACCTTAGATACCATCTACATAATTCATTACTTTATGCCCGTGCGGACATAAAGTGCACATTATGGCCCGCGCGGGCATAAAGTAAACATTCTGGCCCGCGCGGCAATAAGACGCAAAAAACAGTTTTCGATTAACTTATTCTTTATTTACAAAAATATATATTTATTATTCAAAACCAACTGGTATGACATAAAAGTTTGTATGCACCACGGGTACTAATAGATATATACCCTCGGGCGACTTACGAACCCTCGGGCCAGAGGCCCTCGGCTTTGTAAGACTGTCGCCCTCAGGGCATAATCCTCTATTTAGTACCCTTGATATATAAATAACTATTAGATTGAACCTTTAGGAAAAAGCCCTCAAAATTTCAACTCTCCACTCACGTTAGTTTTTGAGTGAAAAAATTTTTTGTAAAATTTTATTTAAAAAAACATCATTATTTTAAAAAACTCACAACTCCATTAATAATAACTCAATCGCTTTGAGTTTTTAGTATTTTTCACATTGAACCTTTAGGAAAAAGTCCTCAAAATTTCAACTTTCCACTCACTTTAGTTTTTGAGTGAAAAAATTGTTTGTAAAATTTTACTTTACAAAACAAAATTATTTAAAAAAAATCATAACTCCATTAATAATAACTCAATCGCTTTGAGTTTTTAGTATTTTTTACATTGAATCTTTAGAAAAAAGTCCTCAAAATTTCAACTTTCCACTCACTTTAGTTCTTGAGTGAAAAAATTGTTTGTAAAGTCTTATCTACTTTACAAAACATCATTGTTTTAAAAAAAATCATAACTTTATTAATAATAACTCATTAGCTTTGAGCTTTTAGAATTTTTTACATTGAACCTTTAGGAAAAAGTCCTCAAAATTTCAACTCTCCAGTCACTTTAGTTTTTGAGTGAAAAAATTGTTTGTGAAATTTTAGTTCAAAAAACATCATTATTTCTAAAAAATCACAACTCCATTAATAAAAACTCAATCACTTTGAGTTTTTAATATTTTTCACATTGAAACTTTAGGAAAAAGTCCTCACAATTTCAACTTTCCACTCACTTTATTTTTTGAGTGAAAAAATTGTAAAGTTTTACTTTACAAAACAAAATTATTTAAAAAAAATCACAACTCCATTAATAATAACTCAATCGCTTTGAGTTTCCAGTATTTTTTACATTGAACATTTAGGAAAAAGTCCTCAAAATTTCAACTTTCCACTCACTTTAGTTTTTGAGTGACAAAAATTGTTTGTTAAGTTTTACTTTACAAAAAATCATTATTTAAAAAAAATCATAACTTCATTAATAATAACTCAATCGCTTTGAGTTTTTAGTATTTTTCACATTGAGCCTCTAGGAAAAAGTCCTCAAAATTTCAACTTTCCACTCATTTTAGTTTTTGAGTGAAAAAATTGTTTGTGAAGTGTTTTACTTTACAAAACAAAATTATTTAAAAAAAATCATAACTCCAAATAATAACTCAATTGCTTTGAGTTTTCAGTATACAACTCTATTAATAATAACTCAATCGCTTTGAGTTTTTAGTATTTTTTAAATATGATTTTACCCCCCCCCCCCCCCTCCCCAGATAAACATGTATGCACCGTCACTGATTAGGAAAGGCGAATATTACATTCTTTTTCACAAGTTTTCCTCAATTTCCCCTTTCCATTTCTCAGTTTTTATTCAATTTTCCTTCCGTCTTAATTTTTTCTCTATTCCCTGCTCTTGAATTTCTGTTTTCTTCAGATTTTTTTAAGTTGAGAGGGTTCAAGAGCCTGGAATAGAGAAAATAGGTAAGTACTTTTATTCCTACAGGTAAATACATTATCAATGAATTTCCTTCTTTCCATTTCTGTTTTTATTAAATTTTCCCTCCGTTACAAATATTTGTCTCTTTCCAACTCTTGGATTTCTGTTTTTTTTTTTTAATTTCGTTCGTTCAACCAATTTTCATATAATTTTCTCTCATTTTTCCGTTTTAATTTTTGCCATTTCTCGACTTTTGAAGTTTTATTTTCGACAAATTTCTCTCAAAAAAGGAAATTCAATAACCTGGAATGGAAAAAAAAAACAATTTTTTTAAAGTGTTTTCTCTTCAAGATCCGGAAAGTGCAGAAGCAGAGATTATCCAAATCCTTTTCTTGTTCTCAGAAATCCCACGAAAAATCTGATAATCAAAATTAGAGCATAAAACCAAGAAAAATTCAATTCACGAGCTACAAGAGGTAAATTCACAAAAAATGTCGAAAAAGAATGAATATAAAGAAATAATACGATTTTCAAGATTCTTCAGTTAAATTTCAGCTCTAACAAGATCCACATACAATGATCTTTTTCTTCTTTTTTTTTTTCAAACCAAATCATGGTCCAGTGATTCCAAATTGGCCTCCAAAATCTTCGCATTTTAGTCCCTTGGGTTTTTTTTTTGGTAGAAATTTCCTTAGGAAATTTCCATCCCAATAGAAGGAAAAGTAGTGGTAATGCCAAAAAGCATATAAATGCTATAAAATATCAAAGTCTAACAACCGTTCTATAAATGTTAGGTACCTAGGTACTTTATCTCTATTTTTGCAAAGGTTATCATAAATAAATCAATACCTAGACAAAATCCTATTAAATAGGTACAAAACTATTTAAATAGGTACCATTTAAAAGATAAAATTAAATATTATGTACAATCATTCTACTAGATATGCACATAATTATTGCATAAAGCAAATTTTACGTTATGATGATATAACTTTCACCTAACCGCTTTCAGAATTTCACTTTCTACTGATCGGAAGCCTACATTTTTATACAAGGTCATGAATGAAAAGATTATACAAATACTTTCTTCCTGTGGAAAGAAGAATAAAATTATCTTATGTAAGTATCATGAATAAGGTCAGGGTTAAAAATGTGTCATTATACTCTTGTGACCAGTAAATTCATCATTTTATTGATAGCAATTATGTTCATTTATGTTCACTACATTTCCTCTCTTTAACAAATTCCACCATCTGTTTGGTTTAGTCCTTCATCAATACTTTATAACTTAATACATCTTTATGTTTTAGAGATGTGTCGGCTGGAATTATTAGGTATTACAACCAATGTCCTGTAAACACCAATATTCCAACAAGATGTTTCCATTTTTCGGACGTTGTTACTACATATTGTCAACTACTTAAGTAAATACCACTCTGTACATCAATTTTACTGAAGTGTGTCGACGAGTCAGCATTTATTTGGTATAAATACAGCGCCGAAATCCATTACCGGCAGACTAAAGCTAGTGCGAACTATCTCTAATGGGAAAAGCCCTTCTAGCTAAGTCTCCTCCCAGTGCAAACTACCTTTAATGGGAAACGCCCTTCTGGACCTGTCTCAAACCTAGTTTCAGTCTTCAGTCACGCCAAGTGTACAGAGGGTACATAATTATTACAGAGTGGCCCTTAAGTAGTACGTCCCTCCGTAGAAGAGACGTCATGATACCATTTCTAGGGTAATAACTATTATTAATCAATACACATCTTATTATACCTATACCAAGCGAGTTTCTCTCTACCTGAACCCCACCTACGCCCCCAAGTCACGCTCCTGTTGTGACGTCCCAGGACGAAACGTATAGGGGTTGTGACATAGTGATTTACAGACCATGTTATATTGAGGATAACCTTTCATGATTTTTTAAGTATACCTATTTGAGATACTTTTATCAATTATGGTTTAAACTTTGACATCGCATACTTACCAGATGGTTTGACTCTGATAAAAAGAACGTCGTCAGGCTTTATTATTTCACCAATAGTCACAGAGTCGTAAATATCCTGAAAACAAGATAATATTAAATCTTTAGAAAAAATTTGCAATTTAAATAACAAGAAACTCGATCTTCGACCTTTTTTCTTCCAAGATGATATTTTATCAACACGAATTATCTTTAGGCTTTAGGTATAATTTAACATACATTTTCTATAGTATCGGAAAATCCCAAAAGAATAATCATCATAAAGTATTTTTGTCTTTAAAAAGTAACAACATGAAATTATAAAGAAAAATACACGCGTACTGATCATTCGATTACACACCTATAAACGATTTGACCCAAAAATATATGAAGGAACATTGTACAATTAGGATTTTCCCATACTTACCTAAATTGTCGTAATTACATATTTACCCTAATCATGTATCCATTCCCATTGACCAAGTTCAAGTCGGACAAAGTAAAATTGACACGATACGGATACCCATCCACACGATTGCTAAGCAAACCAATAGCATATGATAAATAATCATCTACAATTGGTTTAATCGGTTTAATCCAAAAGTCAATTTTGTCTTTCTTAAAAATAATCTCATTAAACAAAATTTTACATCAGAATTATTAGTCTTACAGTTAGCTCCAATCTGCCTTGCACCCCTAAAGAATCCTGATTTATCGCAATCACTTCTTTGTTTAGTAAAATATCTCTGAACTGGGCTTCAATGGTTCTCAAATCTACTGACATTATCAGTGGAGCGGCCATTATAGACCAAATAGCCATTTGCGATTTGGCTTGTTCGTAGCTCAAACCATAATTACCGATAATTAGCTATATAAAAAATAGGATTTTAGGAATAAAAAGTAGGTATTTTTTGTTGTTGTTACCATGTCAGGATCGTTCCAATGGCCGGGCCCGGAATATTTAGCAATCCTGTCTTGATTCTTGCTGAACCAACTCAAAATATTCGTCACGTTGCCCCAGGAATCGTCAATGTCGTCCCAGTTTCGCCACGAGTTGCACACTTTGGACATTTGTTCATAGTTTGGCTGAAAATTAAATTAGCGTTACTGCAAGAAAAGATCTCCACATCTAGAGAGAAACCTCAACAAAACAACAAGGTGTCTAGTTGGATTGTAAAGCCCAGGAATAGGATTTTTATGCATCTTTATTTAAAATTTAAGCTTTAGGAAAGCCATTTGTAAAATTTCTAAGCTCCTTCAGTTGAATTTAAGCTCTACAAGGTTCAAAAATGTCGCTTTGGCTTAATTTGAAGTCAAGAAAGATTACAATATTATGCTGGATCTTCTTTAGATAATGTACATGCCTGGGCTCATAACCTCTTGTATTCTACTCCAAAAGTAGGCAAAATGTATATGACAATAGTGACGCTTATAAGAACAGTTTTACGTTTCATATTGTTATTATTTAAAAATATTACTCTTGTGAAAACACTCATCTCTTACCAGCAATACTTACATGAATTCCTATAGGTTCCTGATAAGCGGGCCAACTACAAGAATAAGCAATCGGTCGACCAGTGGCGTTCAAGTATGCTGACATAAGAGAATAACCTGGCGAGAAAAATATGTAAACTTGAAAATTCTTTGACAAAACAAAATAATCTCCCTCATACCACTTTCCATTGTCATAACATCCGAATTACACCCGTCGAATTTTAAATAGTCCACTCCCCAATCGGCGAAAGTTTGCGCATCTAGTTCCAGGTGATCAATGCTTCCTGGATAACCTGCGCAGGTTAATGTACCGTAGTCTGCATATATACCAAATTTCAACCCTTTATCGTGAATCTAGGAACAAAATACTTGAAATACCAATCCGAGTTATTATTTTTAATTTCTCACATAATTTGCCAGAGCTTTTATTCCACTAGGAAACCTATCGGGATTGGGCTGGAGCCTTCCAGTAACATTATCCCTTTCCTTACTAGCCCAACAATCATCGATCATAACATATTCGTAGCCAGCATCTTTAAAACCATCTGACACCATATGGTCTGCCATATCACGGAAAAGTTTCTCACTATAGAAACTAAATTTAAGACTTTGAACTTTGAAAAATTAAGTATCTTACCTAATACAGTCGTCTGGATAGGCGGCACAGTCAGTTACGCATCTGAATCTTTGCCAGTGCATCCAACCCATGGGCGGAGTGCGTGCTAAACCATTATCCAGAGATTTGGTGAATGGTAGTACCAATAAGATCATACATAGAATGTTGGCTAACATTCTGCGGAAAATATAAACAAAATCTGGTGATTCAATTATTACTTCACTTTGCCATCGACCATCAACTACAACTATGAAATGGTTCTTGATTCTGATCAGAATAAAATTAAATAATTGGAGGTTGACTGACGAGAACTTACTTTGGTGTTGTGTAAAAAAAAAATTACGAATAATAATAAATACAGTGAAAACACACATCAACGACCCTAAACTGAAGCTGGCAATTGCAAATTGACCAAAGAGGCAAAGACGTTGTCGAAAGTTGGTTGGTTCTTAAAAAAAAACCGGGAAAAGAAAAGAGAGAATAGTTCGTTAGAATTCTCTCATTTTCCCGATTTTTGAAGAGACATAAAGAAACATCGAAAATATGATGGTAGAGAATAATTTACCGAAGTTTTATTCTTCTCCTATGATCTCAAAATACTTTTGAGAAATATCTGGGAAAAAACGAAAAATGTAAATTTTCCATAATTGGTCCATTAGAATTTTTTCACTTTCCCAATTACTACAGACATAGAAGAACATCGAAAATTTTAAGTAAATTCGCGTTTGATTATTGTCGAAAATTTGAAAACAGGAAAGTAAGATGGTGTTTTATTTTTAACTCACGATCTCAAAATAGTACCTAAATATGCAGATTTTTAGAAAGATCTGAGAAAAGATAAAAAATGGAAATTTTCTTATACGGCTTCTGTTAGAATTTTGTCATTTTTCCAATGAAGAAACATCGGAAATTTGATGGTATAAAAGTTGATCGATGTTTTTTTATTCTTGACCTGAAAGTCCCTAAATATGTAAATTTTCAGAAAAATCTTAGAAACGATGTCTTCAAACAATGACTGCTTTGCGTATTTTTTCTTCAAAATTGGCGCTCTGTCAAGTATATACTTTTTCCAAAACAGCTGGGAATCTGAAACTTTCAAGGAGAATATTATTTGAAGCCGTATCCGAATTTTCTCCTCCACTAAGAATCGCTGAAAATTTCAGCTTTTCAATAGAAAAAAAGATATGATCTTTTGAAGTTTTCAAAAATCTAAATTATAATGGTAGCTTGACCAGTACTAATAATGATGAAATTTCAAATCTATATATATAAAAATGAATGCCACTTTTCGTTGTAATTTTATAACTCAAGAACGGGCTCACCTAGCCAAACCAAATGTTTAGGCTCTTTTCGGACTATTTATTAGATGGTTTATGTGAAGTTTGCACAAAATCGGTCGAGCGATTCTTCATTTATCACATTTTTTGTAATAAATAAATGGAGGATCATTTTGTTAATGGGGATTTTGCTGTCAAATTGAAACTTTTTTTCAGCGTTGACAGTACCAGCATGTTGTTATGTCATTAATGTGGTCATTTCATTACTTATTTTATTTATTTATGAAAAAAATTCACCAAGCCCGCATACGGCGCCATCTCTTATAACCGATACCAAGTTTATTTTGTATTTTGTATTTTGTATACCGCGCCATCTCTGATACCTGGAACGAAGCTCGGCATTGCAGATACAGTAGAACAATGCTGCTCAGGAACTGGAGCTATTTCGAACAGAACTATCACACTATTCCGATCAGATAGAGTGGTGCAAAAAGAGTAGATCAGATAGAGTAGTGCAGATAGAGTAGAACAGATAGAGTAGTGCAGTGCAGATAGAGTGAAACAGGGCTGCGCTAGAGATAGATTTTTTTTGTTTTCTTTACATCCTTTGAACATTCCTGTGCCTGAGTTTATTTATTTGGTGGTACACTTTACAAGAATAACGCCCAAAAGCTGCCTGAAAAAGGATGATGTAAAATTTTAATTTTAGGTGACTTCTGATCCAGAGAGTACCTAAACAATAATTTTCTTCAACCAAAGCCAAATTCACCATCAAAAAAAACTAAATTTAATTCAGCTAATATTTAGATACGTTAACACAACATTTAATAGGTATATTTAATAATTCAGAGGCGGTACGAAGTTCGCCGGGTCAGCTAGTATTTTTATAAAGGAATGAAGCTTTGTCGGTTATAACAAAATGAATGCAATCACTACGGAAGATGAGCAAGAAAAGAACATCAACACTCTCATACATGTCTGAGTGTCGCTGTTATTCATCACGAAATAATTTTGTCATCACGAATAAATCCATTTTGATTCTGAACTCTTCTGATTTGGGGCATGTTCATGGTTTTACTATATGTTTATAAATTTACACTTTGTTGAAGTGTTTAGAACGGATCTTTAGGACTTTGAAGAATGGAAAGTCAGACACATTTAATGAAGATAAGTCCTTTTCTATGACTATTCAATAATATGCGTATTATAGGTACATCCACTTTCTATTGTTTAATCAAAAGTGTAAATAGGATTGCCAAAATCAAACATTGTGTTCTAACTTTTAGTTTCAACATCCTCTCTCATTGGAAAATTTTGGTCAATTCCATTGTGCTTCTTAAAAACTCAAGTCTTGGCTTGAACAATAATTTTGTCATGAGTTGCGCAAGTTGATTCTCTCTCAGGGATTGTAGTCCTCCGCGGGGAAAAAATCGCTGAAAATTTTAGCTCTCTATCTTTATTGGAAAAAAAATTATGATCATTCAAAGTTTTCAAAAATCTAAATCATAAGCTAGGTACTGTAGCAAAACGTCCCATAAGTACCTACTCTATTTAATTAGTTAGATGGTAAATGGCGAGCGGTATATTGATGGTGTTTATTTCCTTGGAGCTGCTACCTATAAAATTGTGGAGGGGTCTATTCGCAAAAGAGAGAAACAAACTATTGAGGTTTACTAAATTATATTTTATTATACTTAAGACCAAAAATTTAAATAAGCAAAATATCTTTCTATTCTGACAGCCACATCATTTTTTCTCAATTCAAATTATTTCACATCCGTTCAAATGTGATTATTGCGGACCAGGAAATATCCATACAAAAAAAAACGCCCTACTTCTACTATTCTTAATAACTTATAAGTTTATACATTACAACACTTCCGATTCACATTCCTATTAAACTACCCTTTACTTATATCTATAAATTCGCAAAAATTCCTAAGTCCTTTACTGACTGCTTATGCAAACTACTATCATAATCCGACTCACTATATTTTTATAAAAATCTTACAATAATTTCTACATTAAAACAAAACCTAATTCAAAATTCATTTCATGAACAATTAGTTTTCTTTCAAAACTTATTTTTGTTATGTTTTATTCTTTTACTAAGGATCAATTTAATCAGAACAATTACTACTTTCGGATTCCTAGCCAATAAACACAAATGTTTAATTAATAATTCCTACTCAAAATCGTATATTGTTAAGAGCATTATAAATTCCCTTCATATTTTCTTTGCAAAATTAAATTAAAATGTCATTATACTCGAAAGCAATTGAAGTTATGCAATTAAGTTTTTACAGTCAAAATCACTCAAGTTTTTATGCAATAAAGTTCCAAAGTTAATTCACTTCATACTCATTCATCATTTATAAAGTCAAAACTAGAGTACTTACATTTAACTTTTCACACGTAAAATAACTTAATTTAATTTACTCCAAAAATCTCTACAGCACGCACATAATGTTGAATGAATTTAATTGTTCTTTCTTTCTCGATTTTTCGTTACTTTTCCAAAGTTCAATCAAACGCGTTTTCCCCGAGGCCTTAAAAGAAACTTTTCGCGAATTTTACCCGGACTGACACATTAGGTACTGTAGACTTACTTCAACTCAAACTGGACTGAACTAACAACTCAACTGACAACTAACTTCCACTTCTAAAACCGCCTGTTTTATATTTTTTCGATTCTTCCCCCCCCCCCCCCCCCAAAGTATTATTAATTATCCACCAAAATCGACAATAGGCGGTCGTTTGACCATCAATAAGTCAATTCTATTGGTCGACCTAGATATTATCAAAAGATGATGATGTTCTTGTTGACTGTTGCTGTACTATTTGAAATTTTTGTCATTTTTATTTGTTTAGAATCGAATAATTATTTCGCAATTTCCTGGTTTATAGGGGTAAATAAATTTGGGTTCAAGAATGTAAGGACAATACAAAGAAGACCGACACACGTGAGCCATAAATCACCGATTTAATTACTTTGGCCTCGCTTGTAATAAGTTCATTGATCTGATTTAGGGGATGACATCACGCTTGGTGACTAAATAATAGAATTTTAACGTATATAAATATTTTAATTTAATTTGGGGTCAACGCTAATTTGTTTCATTTTCAATTTATCGATACTGATTTGAAATACCGGAAATTCAGTTTTTGATTATTTGATTACATTTAATTTTTACAGTAAAGATATTGTAAATATCGGGACTATTTTTCCGGATCATTACAGTAGAAAAATGATGAAATTCCAAATTTTTTTATATTGAGATTTTATGTTTAAATGATCCTTTTGAATCTCCTCAAACTCCATAATTGCTGACGAAATCTCAGAGAAGAAGTAAAAATAGAGGGACATGAGTGTTTACGACTAAATAGTGTTAGTAGACATACCTACTGGTGGTGTACAGATGCATGTTGAGGTTGGTATAAATGTTGAAAGAAAGGAGTTTGGAAGAAATTACTGGGTAATGTCTGTGGAGATCAATGTACCTATGTGGTAAAGTCCTAATAATAGCATGTGTGTATCATTCACTAGGAAGTAGTGATAGGGAATTTATAGAGTTGGTGGGGTAAAGAAATTTACAACACTGAATTCACTGTAATAGTAATAGTTTCGTATTCATACTAGCCTAAGCCAGATTATAAATGAGATAACGAGACCTTCCGCCAATGGGGGAACTCTAATTGATTTGGTGTTCACAAATCAGCAGGAAAATATAGAATCACGAGTATGGAATGCTCCCCGAATTAGAGATCATTGCTTCATAACTCTATAACTGTCCGTTTTTAATAAATATAAAACACCTCCAACATAGATATGTTCAAACAAGAGGAAAAAATATCGATTACGAACTGATAAAAAGAAAACTAATGCAAGCCACTTGGAAACACATATATTATTCGAGTTACATATTTATAGCAAATACTACTTTCTGTTCAATATTCTGAGAGCTTTAGAGATGAAGTAGCTCCTTTGGGAACTGTGAAAATGAAAGAGGCGGAGCGAATGAGAGATCAGAGCTATAGAGATTATAAGAGTATACAAACGGAAGAAAGCCATATATAGCTTATAAAACTAATGGATTTGTTGTAAAAGTTATGACAGGAAAAAGGACTATACTTTGAAGAGAAGGTCGATCAGTGTAAGAAAGAACCTAAAAAAAGTGGGCCACTCTAAAGCAAGTTTTGCCAGATACTAGAAACTGTAAAAAAAACACGTGAAATGGATTTTGATGGAGAAATAGAGATTGAGGAATCTCTGTTACCTGACAAACTAAATAGATTCTATATTGATAGCACAAGCAATATTATCTCTGGTATTGATAGTCCCGTAGATTCTGACGTTAAGATGTCAGCTGGTAACATTTCAACAATGAATCAGTGTTCAGAATTCAGATCAGAGCTGGGCAAAGCCCTCAGTAAAAGGGCTTGAAGCACTAAGCCCTAAGCCCTCTATCAAAGTGCTTCAATTTCAAGCACAAATTCCTTTTTATTTTCAAAAGTGCTTCACAAGCACAAAGCCCTCAAAGTGCTTTGGGCTTGACAAGCACAAAGCCCTCAAAGTGATTTGAAAAGTGCTTGAAGCACATCAAAAGTGCTTGGGGTGCCTTGAAAAGGGCTTCAAGCTCTTTAAATGTGCTTCAAGCTCTTTAAATGTGCCTAAAGCACTTTGAATTTGTAATAAAATTCTCAAAGTGGCATAAGCTACCGCGTACACTCATCACGCAGAATTGGTATAGTAGAGACGAACTTTACATTTCACAGAGTAGCAGTAGTATGTTTTTTTTTGAGATGTAGTTCTGGGGTACTTGGGGTACTACATGGTAATTCAATTTTAAGGTTTTCAAAATGTTCAATGGGGAAAAGTGGAAAAAATCCAGTGATAAAGTTAAATAGGGTACCAATATAAATTAATTATTTATTTGAATAATAAGTTCATTCATCTTTTTTTAAATTCCATTCTAAGCTCAAACCCAAAACCTCCATTGTTAAGAGAGAAAAGACATAAGACGGTTCAAGTTCAAATAATAGAAAAAAAAATTAAGGGACAAAACTATCGAAAATTTTTAAGTGGGGGATAGGTTGAATGATGGTCAATTCAAATTCCTTTCAAAGTGCTTCAAGCTCCCAAAAGTGCTTCAAGCCCTCTAAAAGTAATTGAAGCTCATTGAAAGGGCTTGAATTACTTTTTTCAATTACAAATTACCAAGCACTTTTCTAAAGTAATTGACTTTGCAAGCCCCAATTACAAATCTATAAAAGGGCTTGAAGCACAGGGCTTTCAAGCCCTCAAAGTGCTTCAAGCACTTTCGCAAGCACAAAGCACTCAAGCCCTGCCCAGCTCTGATTCAGATTGATCGAGAAATCTACCTTAAATAGTTATTTATGTATCAAGGGATGTTAATACCCCAGGGCAAAATTTGTGTCCCTCGGGCCTTCGGCCCGAGGGACACCAATTGCCCGTTGGTATTAATACCTGATAATTCCCGTGGTACATAGATAATTTTATTTCCTACTGAATTTACTGTATTTTGTCCTTCGGTGTTTGCGGCCTCGGATGCGCCTCGCGCGTCAACTTACACCGTCGGCTGAGAATGTGTCACTTTTCCACCTAAATACTAAATACACAAGATACTATTTTCTATTCTGATAACTCATGAAACGCGTCTGACATTACATTATTTGGAGTGTTATAAAAGCAGTGGCGGCTAGTGACATTCTAGATTGGTTGTAAACTCTTCAAAATAATGCGTCGCATGCGAAAATTTTTTGGGGGTGCCACGCCATTTTTTACATTTATCACGATATGCCTTATCTGTCAGAGTGGGATCCTCGACAAGCCACTATGGTTTGGTTAAATGAGCGTCAGCACAGAGTCATAAAGAAACAGCACAAGCCAATCAGCAAAGATATTTTTGCTGAGGCCAATGCGGATGAGGTAAACGGAGAATTTTAGGTAGTGCTGGGGGAAAATTAGCAATAAATTTTAGAATAAATGTAATGTATCGATAGTGCTATTGTATTCTCATACATAATGTAGCATATATTATGTCAACTAAATTATCTGTTCGTATTACATTTAAAAAAAAACTACACAGATTTTAATTTTCCACTGCACTTTAGAATAACCTCTGCTTCCACTAGGCTAAGAATCGCTGAAAATTTCAGCTTTTCATCTATAATAGAAAAAAATTTATACAAATCAAAATTATCTGTTTACCGATATTTACGTATCACTCTAATCAGAATTGCAAAGTCTAAGATTTGAGACAAATTAATTGTTTCAGATAATAGAGAAACCAGCCGATTATTGTTTAAATTAAAAAGCTGACTTTTAATCAAAATTATTTATCTCCCGACAAACTTAAGCCAATATTGGTTTAAGTTATAATAATTTGAAATTTTTATTCTAACGAGTGGTATACCTTTGTATGTTGTAATTATAGAAATTAGCATTCTTTTGAAGGTTTGAATTTGATATTTTTTGTTTAGTTTGCATTGAGTGAATAAATATTCAAAATTTCAAATTGTTTAACTTATGTAAGCTCAGATAACCAAGTGGCTTATATAAATTAATATATGAAGTTGATTCTATTAGCGGAAGTTATTGAATTTTAATACCTACTTCTATTCTGTAGATTTTTATCGGTTTTAATACTGAGTTATTTGCAGATCGTCATATCGAACCCGAACCAAGATATTGAATTTTTGTGTGGAAAAATGCATGTAAATGTATTAAAAAAAATAAATATAAATGAAACAGTTAAAGCACTCATGCCTGGAAAGAAAATAAAAACGTTTGAAGATATAGGGATTTAAAACAACTAAAAAAACTTCAAGACTAATAATGATGAATCGCCTTTTCTATAATCATTGAAAAGTTGAGTAAAGAAATTAATCTGAAAGCCAGATTAAATTCAATATGAAAATGAAAAAGCCTATTTAGACTTACGATAACCAAGTCAAGCCGGCGGAGACGAACCACCCACAATTTTTTCAAAAGTCAATATCTCCAATAAAATACTATTTTATTTTGAAATAAGCCGAAGTTCCAGTATTTTAACTTTGAGTTAAATTAACACTGTTTGAAATAATATGTTCAGAGAAGATAAATACGTCTTATTATCATTATTATTATTATTTCAAAAATTACCTTCAACAATAAATAACACACTTGTTCAACAGCAATAACAGAGCAAGACTAAACCAAGAATTTAAATGAGGTAATTTGGAATCCTTGATAACGGTTCAGTAAACTTGAGATTAGAATACTTAAAATTAACTCAACTATATGAACGTTTTTGCCTAATATACATATATATTTTTTTAATTGTATTATCAGGATTTGTTTACTTTGTCTGCAAAGATTGAAGCTACACTACACTTTATAGAGTTTATTTATTATTAAATCTATTTCTACAATAATTTAGTTCTTATACAGCTGATATTAGGAGTAAAACTGCGCCTGTAGGTGGTACCCGGACAGTTAGATTTTCAGATTTTTCGTACAGTCTTTCAGCTGCAAGATTATTGTCTCCAAAAACATCCTTGAGAACAAATAATTAATTAATTAAAACATTGAATTTATTTTGCAGTATGTATGTACTTACAATTATCGAAAAAGTATTACAATCTTCATTAAAAAATTCAGCCAACAAAATATCTTGTGGATAATAATAACCGTCACATCTGAAACTGACAATTCCCAAAGCGATTCTTTGCCTAGACTCTTTGGTGGATTGTAAGGGTTTCTTCCAAACCTGTATACTGCTCGTCTAAAGCAAAATTAATTAAAAGCTATACTATTGAAACAAAAAATTCACTTACATTTGACACTAATTCCCCTTGAATCCCTAAAGGATCCTGATTGATTCTTATGGCATGCTTGTTCAATAAAATATTCCTAAACTCTGGCCTGATTGTGTCCAAGTCGACAGACATTATTAGAGGGGCTGCAAGTATCGACCAGATAGTCATTTGGCTTTTGCTTTGTTCCAAACTTAGACCAAAATTTCCGATAATCAACTGAAAAACAATAACAATAGTGTATTTAGTCCCAGGCACAAAAATTATTACCACTATTTTTGTATATTTGATAGATCAAACTACCATATTATGATATTAAAGACAATTTTTACTGTTTCTTTGTAGCTGATTTTACTAACCATATCTGGATCGTTCCAATGTCCAGGTCCAGCAAATTTTCTCAGAAAATCTTGATTATCAGAAAACCATCCGGCAATATCCTTGACGTCGTCCCATTGGTCGTCGATGTCTCCATAGTTCCTCCATAAGTTGCAGTGTTGCACGGCCATTGAATAATTTGCCTGTTTAAAAAAAAACTAAATTCATTTTGATTTTGTAAAAATTCAAAGGTATTACCTACCTCTAAGCCTTTGTAAGCTGGAAAACTGCACGAAAACATTATCGGTCTGCCTGTGGCGTTTAGAAATTGGGACATTTTGGCATATCCTGGAATATCAGAAAATCATACAAATATTGTTAATTCAAATTGTTTAAACTGGATTTTAAAGTTGACTATAAACTGTAATAATTATTGGTTTTTTATAGTAATCTTTGACTCTCAAATACTTGGTTTAGAATGCACAAATTCGCAAACAAAATAAAATATGTTTGATTTATCTCAAAAATCGTCAACTTACCTTCTTCCATTCCGTGTAGAGCAGCATAACACCCGTCCAACTTGAGATAATCAACACCCCATTCTGAGAAAGTTTGAGCGTCCAATTCCAAATAATTTATACTTCCTGGATAGCCTCCGCAAGTTTCCGTTCCATAGTCTCCATAAATACCAAGTTTTAGACCTAAATTGTGAACCTAGAACACCAATTTTAAAAAGTTTATATTTTATATTATAATCAACAAATTCCTACATAATCTGCTAAATCCTTGATTCCATTAGGAAACCTATTAGAATCCGCTTGTAGCCTATTATCGCTACTTCTAGACATATTTGACCAACAATCGTCAATAATAATGTATTGGTAGCCTGCCTCTAGGTAACCATCTTTCGCTATTCTATCAGCGATTCTTTTGAATAATTGCTCACTAAAAAATTTACAAATTATTCTCAATTAAAAAATATAATGCACATAACTATTACCTTATACACTCATCAGGAAATTTTTGACAGTCAGTTAAACACCTAAACCTTTGCCAACTTAACCAACCCATTGGAGGTGTTAGAGCTAACCCATTGTCAAGGGAATAACTTACATGAAGACCCAATAAAAAGATAGATAGAATTGTAAACTTTTTCATTTTTTTTTTTGGTCAACTATGTATATATTTTATATTCGATTGGACTATCAAGTAAAGGGTACTTATGAAAGTAGGTTAATTTGTAGCTACCCACGATTGTCAAGGTTCTATGATTAAGATAAGAAGCAATTTGAATAACTTCGAATTTGATTAAAATTATTTTCTTACCTTATTTAGTTCAAAAAACTATATTTTTAATGATAAAATAAAAGATGAACTTATTTATATAAAGTAACATTGCGCAAAAAAAAATACTTATCGATATCAATTCAATATCATTTCTATTTGTCTTAGGTTAACGATCTTTGAAAACCTTTTGTATTTAGACAGAGGATAAAATCAAATTTCAAGTTATCATAAAATAAAACAATTTATTTACACACAATTTAAATGCTATCTGGTTTTCGGTACCCATACCGGTACCGCAACATCCCCCATTGAGGCTCTTTCGATTGTTATCAGTTCCTCTTCAATAATGTCAACACTGTAAAACTTTCTTAGCTCCTCTATAGCTTTGTCTTCAAGCTAAAAAAGTATAAATAAGTTATTGATATAAGTTGAAGAAAATTTTACCTGAGTAAATGCCAAAGGTTTGCTGGTAATTTTCACCAAGTTTTCCTTTTGCTTTTTCTCTCGGGACATGATCGCTTCAATGTTGTCGTTTTGGGGCGAGTTTATTGGTGAAATGGGGTCTTGGAGGATTTTCCATGGGTTTTTGGGACTTTCTAGAAAAAGAATAAGAACGAATTCAAATTGATAGCTCAATTTAAGAATTTTGTGTTTCAAAGAACAAAACTTTTTTCGAAAGAACTGAAATCCTACAGGGGAAAGTAAATAAGAATAAAATTGATAAAATATAGATGAGAGTCAAAACTTGATAATAAAATCACATTGACGAGAGCATTGCATAGTTGCCTCCCATTCTCGGCATATTGTTCATGTTCTAAAATTTATGTGGATTCAGTATTACCTACATAATCATAAGAAAAATGTACGGGAGAACAATTTTTTGTCTAGGGAGATATTTGACCTTTCAGGGGTCTCATAATTCTCTCACAATCTCACTTTTCTTCGGTCTTAATGCGAAGCATGTCTTTTTGTGTTTCAAATTTTCAGAATTTCTCTACACTAGGTACAACATTTTCAATTTTTCAATAATGGTGATTGGGTCGGTTTATTCACCTTCTGATAAATTGTCAGGTAATACAATCTGACGGATAAAAACGCAATCTGTAATCCCATTGGTCGGAATGGTCGGCCAGTTATCCGTCAACCAATAGGATTATAAATAGGTGAATTTACCAGCAACTTTATATTTAGTTTATCTGCAGATGAATAAACCGGACCTGAATGTGAGAAGCTTGCATCACATTCATCATCTTTTCTAGAAGGAAATAATAAACTTAATGTTTCATTATCCAGACGCAAAACTTTTGATACTACTTTTCCATTACACCAATAACGCAGCTAATTTCTTTATTCCCCGTATAACTCAGTCAGTTTTTCAGGAGTCAGAACTTTGACTTATGGCGAGGGGTAAACCACCTTGAAAAATATGTACAGGGTGTCAAGTTATAAAGTACCACCACCTGTAACTTTTTTATTTTTGATCGTACATAAAAAAGTTACAGGTAGTGGTACTTTATAACTTGACACCCAGTACACCAGAATCCCAGTTTCAAGAGAATCCCACAGAATCCTACTGGAATTCAACTGAAAATGAAGGAAATTTTGGACTAATGAGTAGAAAGTACATTTCATGAGTAAATCGAGTTCTAGTCATTTTTGAACCTCTGCGGAACGAGCGGAGCGAGTTCCGCAGTAATTAACTCATTAATAAGTCGTACTGATATAAAAATGAGGAGTTTTTTAATTAATAAGTTAAAGCATGCAAAAATTATTAAAATATGCAAAAATCACTTGTGCAAAGTACTCCTAATGATCACAGTAACTTGAAACTTTCAGGATTTATGAATTTCCTCTTTGTGGAAAAGTTAATTTGAAGTTGATTGGAAGCTCCAAACTAAATTTAGAAGCTTTTTTTCACGATAATGCATGCAAAAATGATTAAAATCTGCAAAAATCACTTGTGCAAAATACTTCTAATGATCACAGTAAGTAACGTGAAACTTTCAGGATTTATGAATTGAAGTTTCCTCTTTGTGGAAAAGTTAATTTGAAGTTGATTTGAAGCTTCAAACTAAATTTGGAAGCTTTTTCTCTCGTAAAAACATGCAAAAATTACTAAAATCTGCAAAAATTACTAGTGCAAAATATTTCTAATGATCACAGTAACTTGAAACTTTCAGGATTTATGGACTGAAGTTTCCTCTTTGTGGAAAAGATTATTTGAAGTTGATTTCAAGCACAAAATCAAATTTAGAAGCTTTTTCTCATGTTAATGCATGCGAAAATAATTAAAATCTGCAAAAATTACTTGTGCAAAATACTTCTAATGATCACAGTGACTTGAAACCCTTAGGAATAATGAATCAAAGCCTTTTTCATATGAAAAAGTTAATTCAAAGTTCATTTGAAGCCTCAAATCAAAGTTGCATGAAAACACTGTAAAAATATGCCAACCTGAAAATGAGTGAGTTTTTGAATGAATGAGTGAAAACTCTGAATTAAAAATGAATGAGTTATTGAAATAATGAATAAATTTCATGATTAAATTACTGCGGAACTCGCTCCGCTCGTCCCGCAGAGGCTCGTGAGGAAATCACTCATTGATAAGAGAAATGATCTGAAAATTTACTGAATTTTGAACTAATGAGTACAAAGTATATTTCATGAATAATCTAAGTTCTATGAAAAGTTTCTGAACTACAGAATCTGGAATCCCACATCCTTTTCACTATAAATCCAAGGTGGTTTACCGTTACCCCTCGATTTATGGTGAGATCTGTGTGATGTCACCATTATCTGATTGATTGCATATATTGTATTTTGTAGTTAAAAATATAGATTTTGCTAACAATATAATTTAAAAACATTTACCTGTTAACGCAGGTGACGTAACCACAGGATTGCTCTCCGAAGACAGCCTCTTCCGTTGCTTCTGTGACAATTTTACGGGTTTCATTTTAAAATCAAGCTTAGTTGTTCGTTGTCCCCCAAAACCGGAAGATTTTGGAGGACTGCTCAATAAAGGAAACTCGAAACTGTCCACAAATGAGCCGCTCAAATTCTCAGATTTTTTGCGCAAGACGGTGAAGTTTTCTTCGATTTCTTCATATTTGACTGCCTTATTGGCGATTGTAATTGCTTTTACTCTGTTCGCTAAAGGGCTTTCGATTTCCTCAATAGAAACACTTAATTCCTCTTGAATATCGGAAGAAAACGATATATTATGCAAATTACTGTCACTTTCTAGTGATTGGGACAATACATGTTTATCGGAAGAACTAGTTTTGTGGGCCCTTACACGCTTCTTGCTTCCACCAATACTTTTCTGCTTCTCTTTCATCTCTTTAATATCTACTGGATACGTAAAACTAATATGGCTAATTTCTTGATCCGTCACAGCTGTAGAATACGGAGTAATCACTCTACAATCCAACTGTCGTCTAACCTGATAAAAATCAGACAACTCTTTCAATAGATGCCCGTCCAGTTCGTCCAATAATCTCATTTCCAAAAACGGAGTCATATTTTGCTGTATAAATTCGAAACAGTTCTCTTTCAAGCTGTCAGCATTGTAAATATCAGCAAACATCAATAGCTGGCAAGTATTTTTTATAGTCAGCATGTTGGACAAAATAATTTCGCATTGGTCTTTGAGCCGCGTCACAAAAAATTGATCGGCTAAAATTATTATTTTGAATAGTTGGTCCACGTCGCGATCTTCTAACCGATCCAAAGAATCAGTGTATAAAAACTCTAGAAGGGCTTCTACAACTTCTTTAGGGAACGGCATTGTGATTTTGGAGGCTTCAACCTGGAAAATAATATTCTTGTTTGATAACTTGAACTATTAATCAATTTGCCTAAGAAATTTAGAGATATGATGTCAGCAGCTCATTATTTAAGAGTTTGATAGTTAAGCACTAAAATAAAATCTGAAAATTACGGATAAAGTAGGTTTGTGAGGCTTTCGCGATCCAGGTTTATTGATAAAGTGTTTTCAGGAGATGAAAAATCCTTACCCGATTCCATCTGGCCGAAAACATGCTGCAAAAATAATCCAACCTGGCGACCAAAATACATTTATGGGCCCTCAAAACCATGTCATTTTTACAATGGATTTCTACATCGTATAATTGAGGAAATAGGTTTTTATTGAAAATTATTGGGCCCCTTTTTGTTTGTTTGCCCCCTCTCTTAAGCCTCACAGCAGTTTTAACCATATCCAAATTGCTCAAGATTTTCTGTAACTCTATCACTTCGAATCTTTTAGCCATTTCGTGAAGCATCCTGACAGGATTGTCTAATTTTTTTTCCGCATTATCAGTAACCTTGTCTTTTAAGGAATAATATTCAAAAGCCGATTTATTTCCGTCAATAATAACATCATTTTCCTTTTCCTCAACTTGCGGCTTCTGACACAGCCTAATAAGAGATTCATTTTGCAGTTCACCAATTTCAATAAGTTCAGTAGTGCCAATGTAGATATATTTTAGAAATTCCTCAAATACTTGTGCATTAAAACCTTTGAATTCAAACTGCTGTTGATTTTTCTTAAATAAATTTGCAAAATAGTGACTTTTGGTCGCTAAAATAAATTTATGAGCCATGAATTTCGTGTCGTTGACTTTAAGTTCAACATCCCCAAAATCTTCGGCAGTTGTGAATAAATCAAACATATTTTCCAACATTGTGGATTCAGTTACGTCATATTTTGATAAATATTTATAGGGCCTGTCTTGAATAATAGCAAAATTTAAACCTTTAGGATCACTTTGTATGCTGAGGCCTCTATGAATTCTAGGAATTTTCTCCAATTTAACCAAAAGACATTCGTCTTTTTCTAGGAATTTATGGAAATCACTTTTTGTCGCATTCTTATTAGTATCTACAACTTTTTTTTTTCTAGGCTTAGCCTCTCCTTTAAATGCCTCTCCATCATTAGTAACAAACAACAAATTATTAATGTTAAAGCTCATTTGTTTAATGTTCAGTGCTCTGTTGATGGAAAAAATGCAACGTCTCAAAACTGGATCGTTTTCTTGCCACAAACAAACGTTTCCTGTATTTGTTAGAGCAGCAACTTTTAATTCGCGAGTCTTATCTGACAATTCCTCATCTAGTTTATGATTCAATTTACCACCAATCACAGTGATTTGGACTAAATTTAATTGTCGCGAAGCAATTTTTCTGCACTGATACTCATGTAGAACATACACATCACCTTTTTCAGTATAGACAACTGTAGCTCCTGTACTAGCACTAACTAATTTTATTTGATCTTGTTCTTTAATACATTTGACTCTTTTAGGTGTTAAAATATATTTATCATCTTGCGAGTTGTTCAATTGGTGTCCCAACTGGCCAGCATTGAGACCCCAAGTGAACAAATTCGATTTATTCCAAATCAACGAGTGATAATTGCCTGTGGCTACAAACGAGGGCATATCAGCTAGATACTTTAGAGGTTTAGGGGCCAATAGTTCATCTGGAGGAGGTGCGATACCTAAAACCTTGTGCTTATTGAGGCCACAACTGTACAATTCCCCGGTTGCTGCTAAAAATAAGCTGTGATCTCTTGCAATACTACAGCATAGAATTTTGATGGCTTCGCTATTTTTGCTGGAAGTTGGGAATTTAATTACTTTTGGTGTAACTTCAAATTGTTGAATGCCCAAGCCTAGACGACCACCTTGTCCGTGACCACAAGAATAAACAGAACCTACAACAAAATCTCTATTTATGATTTTTATTTAAACAAAAAATACGGCTTACCAAGTTCTGTTAAAATAACACTATGAAACTGATTAATAAATATTTGTTTTACATTTTCATTAGGATATTCCTTATGGAAAATATCCATAGTTTCAGGTATGGTCCTTGAAAGTTGCGACCCTAATGACATATTAGAGTTTGAACCCCAAGTAAACAGCTCCCCTCTGGCACAGCTATAACAATTTGGAGGCAAATATCTATCTAACATGGCATGCTCCAAAAAACTGAGCCCGTTGGAGTCTTGCAAAGTTAAACTGGCTCCCAACTTTATAAGTTCCACAACAGTATCGATTTTCCCATAAAACACACTCCTATGCAAAGCTGTATACCCAGACTCTTTATCTCTGGCATTAATATTTGCATGGCAGCTTTTTAGTAGCCAACTGACTAAAGCTGTTCGGCCGCAAGAGGCTGCCACGTGCAAAGCCGTGCGACCATCGGAATCTTTCACAGAGCCGCAACAATGGCAAATGTGAGTGAGGTAAGAGGATAAATCCTTGTCCGAAATGCTTCTTTTGGTGATTGCTGCTGTGATTAGGTCACCATGGACTGTGGATTGGCATTTTGGGGTGCAGTCGGGAACAGGAAATTGCTTGGACATCTAGAACAATTTGGGTAATTCATAATTTTTAATTTGATTCTAATGTGAAATTAGATGAGCGGTATTTAGTATCAATTTGTTCTAGTAAATTTTTGAGTTGGTTTTATGTGAAGGTTGAATCTAGGTCAAAAAATAAACAGCGTGTGTGGGGTACAGTTAATAATTTTGGTGTACAGTATGGATCGGATGTAGAGCATCGTGAAAAACTATGTTCCATTGGAAGATTGGTACATTTCTAGTTTTAAATACAAGGTTTACCGTTTTCTGAATAATACCAATGTATCTCTCCTCCTGACCTTCTCGGTCGAAATGGATGTGTACCAAATACACAAAGAAGTTGACATAAAGATTTGATAACTGAAGAAGTCGAAGTACTTGGACAAGGTAATGCGAAAGGAAAGGGAGAAAATTCGTCGATAGCTAAGAAATATTTATTGTTTGAAGAACTAGTTATGGGATCTTTAAAATTAAGGTTGAGTCGTTCAAACAGACTTGTTGATTTTCGGATTTTCATCAGGAGTCGACTGAGGTGAGGAGCTGATTGTTTATGGTGTAGTTACGAACAATTTGAAACAAACTGATGGATTTGCATTTCGGAACATTATTCTGATTGAGGGAACACCAAGATACAAACTTGTCAAGGTCATCCTGCAATCGATTATGGTCCACAGATACCTGATTGTAAAATTTCAGATCATCAGCGTACAGCAAGACATGAGAAGAGGAGAAGCAGGATGTTACGTCGTTGATGAAGAGAAGAAACAGTACAGGTCCCAGGTGAGATCTTTAAGGGACATCAGAAGTAACCATTACTTCACTGGATAGTGTACCACCGACATCAACTCGCTGCCGGCGATAACCAAGGTGAATTTCTGACAATTTCTTGAGGAAGAGCCGATAGTGAACGTTGTCAAAGGCCATGGATAAGTCGGTATAAATAGAATCAACTTGATGTCCCTGTTCAACTGAGGTGACCAAAAAGTTCTGGTAGACTGCAAGGTTGGTTGCAGTAGAACGTCCTCGGTAAAAGCCATGCTAGACAGAGTTAATGTATCTGTTGTAAGTCGTGAATATCTCGTCAGTTAGAATAGATTAGAGGATTTTAGGAATAGCAAATAGGTTAGAAATACCATGATACTTATTGATGTCACAGTTATCCCCCGACTTGAAAATTGGCAGTAGGAAGGAAAGTTTCCAAGATCCTGGAAAAAAGCCGCTCCCCAATGAGCGTTGGAAAAGTTAACAAAGTGGTGAAGCAAGAGAAGTTGCACAATTTTTCAGCATGACAGCTGGGACACCATCGCGGCCTGCTTTCTTTGACGTGTCGAGCTTCTTCAGTTTTTCACATATTTCTTCAGTAGTGAAATTGTGAGTAGAGAGAACACCAGCAAATCCCACTGGATCTATCCGACTCAAATCCAAAATAGGTACGTTGGTATATGCTGATTGAAAGTGAGATGCAAATGCCTCAGCAATATCTTCAGGCTTGGTCACTGTTTTTCCGTTATGTTGCATTTGGGCCGGAAAGCCTGAATCCCTTTTGAGATTGTTGAGAAATGACCAACAGTGCTTGATATTTTCAGGAATTAATTGCTCAGTATTGGAAACATAAAGTAAGTAACACATATCAGTCATTGCTTCAACTTCTCGGAGCAATGGACCTTCGGAAGTCGGTGCTAAACCATTTTGGATATTTATCAGTTTTTATGGGTTTCTTAGGAAGACATTGATGAATAGCATCATACAGGATGTCATAAAACTGACATATAACACTTTCGGAATTTTCTGTGTTACAAATGAAACTCCAATCAGTGGTACTCAGGTACTGATTTATGCTGATGTAATCTACGTGCCGAAATTGATGGACAGTTGTTGAGTTATGACAGATCCAGATTCAGACTGATTAGCTTATTGATGAACTGGAGGGTCAAAGTTGTTTCGGTAGCTGGGTGATGAGTCACAGTCTTGTCAAAATCATCAGCAAAAATAAGATCAAGCATTTTACCAAAAGCATTATGTATTTGGTTAATTTGCTGTAATTTTAGGAAGTACATGGTGTCAATTAGGATTTCAGCAGTTTGATTTACATTGGAAGGTACTAATGTGTCATCCTCATATATTCATCTGATATGTGGTAAATTAAAATCTCCATAAATCAGGAATTTATGGTTAGAGAACTTGTTGCGCAAAGCTTCGCAAGTGCATGAAAAAGATTTGTAAACATCCACTGGTGAGTTTGGGGTGGTATTATCTATCCAAAATCCGATGTTCAAAGGTAAAGGTAAGGAAAGATGATGAATTTACCTTTACCTTTGGAGTACGGATTGTGAATGGGATATATATATATATATACACATCCAATTACTAGGTCTTGAGAGCATCGAGCCACACCCACATACATCTTCAAATTCCTTGAAAATTGGCGTTGAAATCAGGGAGAATCTTAAAACGTCACTTGCAGTTACAATTACTCCCCCACCACGCTGAACGTTGAGTTGGTCGTAATTTCTATCTCGTCGACTGTGAAAATGGAGTCAATGTTCGGGGTTATGGAATGAACTGTTAAGCCAGTTCTCGGAGAAAACAATTTCGAAGTCGCAAGCAGCCGTAGATATCAATAGTTCATCGGTCTTTTCACGTAGGCCTCGTACATTTTGATAATATATGGTAACTAAGTTGTTAGATTAGTGGACGGGTTCGACGATGGTTGTAGAAAATCTGTGAGCGGCGTTGCTGGCGAAGGATCGGTGGATTTAGAAGTAGTTGAAAAAGAACTTTCACTTGGCTTCTTAGTTAGTGAATGGTAGTTAATCATATGGTAAAGTTGTTGGGCTAAGTTTAATTTATCATAGTAATTTAAAATACTATTATTCACCAAAGTCAATAAGGGAAGAAAGAAAGTGGAAATTGTTCGATTGTTGGGCGAGTGTGTTCAATATAACCGAGTTTTGCTCGTGAATAAAACGATTTAGGATTCTCATTTACCAATATTTTTTTCAAAAGGGAGGGTTTATCTCTAAGGCTAGCTGGTCTATTCTTGAGGTTTTCTATTTCGTCCCGATAAGATTTAATTTCACTTTCCAAAACGCGAATATTCTACCATGTTCCTGTTCATGCTATTCAATTTTTTAGTATGATCGTTCAATGACGTAACAGTAGCAAGACAATTCTTATAGCCACCCCACGATTTTCTCATTTTTAATTTTATCTACAAGAGTTTGGTTATGACGTTTTAACATAACTATTTTTCTGGTATTTGAGTTATGTCATGAGACTCATAACACAACTAGTGGTGTTATAGAGTAGGTTATGAATTCATAACAAAACTAGTGGTGTTATATATAGACTTGGTTATGAATCCATAACACAACTATTTTTGGTGATTTGACAAATGTCAAAGTTAAACCTGTAAAGGTAAAATGAAGGTACACAACTACTTATAAACGAAATAGTTATTTACATTACAAGTGCGTTTATGAACATGAGGTCGTATACCGAGTCGTTCTAATCGCACGAGTTTTGTGTCTCACTACGTTCGGCTCGCAACCCTACCGCTTGAGCACAAAAAAGTGAAGCTTCTACTCCTTATACAACAATATACTATTTTCAATGACAATTTTAATTGAATGTATTACAGTATTTTGTCCTATTCTTGATTTGAGGTTGATGTTTTTGCTTGTTTGTTTTTATTTTTATTTTTATATTTTTATTTTGCTGTTTATTTTGTTATTTGTCATTTTAACATTAGATTTTGAGGGTTTTTATTCATAACTTTGACCTGTTTATTCAGTTAATATTAGACATTTAGATGTTAAGTATGGCTTTGTCAATAACATAAGTTTTACGACAATAAAGCTATTTTTGATTTGATATCCTCCAAGTAATGGGTGCAGTAAGACATTTTTTTAGCCAAACTGCACAGTCTCAATACAAGCTTTTTGCTAACCTCCAATGAAATTGCCTGATTGTCCCAGCTTAGGAAATCATTAGATAAATGGGAAACAGAAAATGCTCTTCTCTGTGCTTTGGAAACATGAATATATAAATGGATGAATAGGTTATGAGCTCGGTGATGAGGTACCTACCTAATGGTGGAATATCACATTTATATAAATTCTTTTTGCAATGTGAAAGTCGTACAGCTTGATCTTTCAAGTTATTGATATTTTGTTTAAAAGAGTTGTTAGAACGGAAACTAAGGAATCTCTTAGAGAAGGTAGGTTTATGATACCAGCTCGGATACCAGTTAGTTTTAATATTGTTATCACTCACTGATAAAATATTTAGAAATGAAATACAGTTGTTACGTTATCCTGGAAACAGGATTCATAAAAATCTTTCACACTTTTCAACTGGTAACAGCTCTTCTTACCTGACACGACAGATGAATGATCTCAGATTGCCAATACCACACTTCACTCTCGTCAAGAATTCGTTTATTTATGATTTATAATAGAGTGGAGTCATGTGTTACTCAGTAAGTTATAAGAGTATCTTTGTTTTGATTTAATTTGTTCAATGTTGTATTTATTGGTTCGTTCATATAAATCACATCTTGTTCATATTGTAACAAACTGCTTATTAGTAAAACAAGAGAAAAGGTTTCCTATGTGCTCATACAGTTCAGTTCAGTTCAGTTCACTTTATTTGATCTCTTTAAAATATAAAAATACATTTTGTACCCTTTCAGGTGTAGATCACGTCAATATAAAAAAAAATAGACAAACAAATTAAAAAAATAATAATAAATAAAATAAAATAATTAGACTGCAAGGTTAAAACTAACATATGCACATACAAGCTTGTAACGATAAGCATCTAAAATATTATGTGACTTTTATGACGAAGACATAGGAAAAAAAAAAAAATTTAATGATAAAATAACCGAGAAAATAACATAAACACACATGAAGATATCCAAAAAATTGGTCAGAGCATTCTGTCTAGATCAGTTTAAGAAAATTGATTTATTTTTATCCTCGAAAAATTCGTTAACACTATAGTAGGCACGATTTTCCAGAAGCAACCTAATTTTTCCCGCAATTTTTCTGTTAGGCATTTGTCTCAGTGTGATAGGCAAAGAGTTCCATATTTTTATAATATTAAGTTATATTTTTTCGTAAATAACTAAATTGAGGTATATCTGTTCTTAGATTATCCTTTTTTCTTGTGTAATATTTGTGCTCGATTCTTTGGTTTTCAAATAGATCTGGATTTTTTATAACAAATTCAATACTCTCCTGAATATAGATATTGTAGACTGTCTGAATTTTATACTGAATAAAATTTGCTTTGCAGCTTTGTTTGCGATTTAGTTTTAAAATTGTTCTAAGATATCTCTTTTGCAGAACAAGTATTCTCTCGGCGTATGTAGAGTTACCCCAGAAAATGACACCATATCTTACACATGATTGTACAAAGGCGTGATAGGAAGTCAGAGAAGCAGACAGACACACTGTGTCTCTAATAATTCTAAGTGCATAGCAATATTGACCTAATTTTGACGCAAGTTTGTCTATGTGAGATTCCCAGCACAATTTTTTGTCCAAGACAACACCCAAAAACATGACGCTGTCTTGAGCCCCTAGCTCCGTCCCTCCATACATTACACATAATTTTTCTGTGTTTTTGGGTCTAAAGTGAATCAGTTGTGTTTTATTTATATTAAGTGTTAAGTTGTTTGATTCGAACCATTCTGTCAATCTATCTAAGTCGTGTATAATGCCTCTTTCTATCGCTTGTATATTTTGTTCATCATATAGAACAGTTTTGTCGTCAGCGAATAGTACTATGTTGTCGTTTTGTATAATATTTGTTATGTCATTGGTGTATAAAATATAGAGCAGAGGAGACAAAACAGCTCCCTGAGGGACGCCCCTGCTGATTAGTTCAAATTCTGATCTTACTTTTTGTCCATCTTTTCCTAGCTCCTCTGTGCATTGCCATCTGCCTTCTTGAAAGGATTCAATGAGACGCAGAGCCATGCCCGTTATGCCACATGCAGCCAGTTTTTATAACATAGTTTCATGGTGGACACTGTCAAAAGCTTTGGTCAAGTCTAGGCATAGCGCTGCGGCTGTTTGTTTCCTGTTCAATGTGTCAATTATTTTTTTAGTTGTTTGATAGATTGCCCTGATCGTTGATTTACCCTTTCGAAATCCGTTTTGCTGATCTGAAAGGATGTGCTCACTTTCCAAGAAATTTGTCATTTGTTGATGCATTATTTTTTCAAATATTTTGCTGATGTTGTTTAAAAGCGAAATTGGGCGATAGTTTTTCAGGTCATTTTTTTCACCTTTATTTTTATACAAAGGCTTGACAATTGCAAACTTTAAGGCAGATGGAAATTCACCCGTTTCAAAGCTGAGGTTTATTATATAGGCAAGAGGTTTTGAAATTATGTTTGAAGTCTGCTTTAGTAGACTCACTGGAATTTCATCAGTGCCAACTGATTTTTTGTTTTTTAGGCCTTTGATGATGTTTTCTACCTGTTCAGGGTTTATTGGCTTAAAGTCAAAGCTTTTTTTATTCAATAATAAGCAGCTACTGTTTTCAGGTTTGGAGTTGTGAGTTGAATTTTGACATGAGCTTAGGAAAAACGAATTAACTTTATTTAAAAATTTGGGGGTCTCTTTTTCTTGAAAGTTGTTGAAAATTGATTGATCTTTGTTTTTTTCGTTTGTGATTTTTTTTATGAGATTCCAGGTAGTTTTAGTTTTATTTTCTGAATTTTCAATTTGCATTTTGTTCCAGAGTTTTTTTGCTTTTTTAATTACATTCTTAGTATTTTGGAGTATTCTTTATAAAAGCTTTTACTTGCAAGTCCTGATAGGTAGAGTTCATATATTGTTCTCTTGTTTTTAATGGATGTTTTTATGCCTGTAGTAATCCAGTTGTAACTGCTATTTGTTTTATTTTTCCTTTTTTTTTTTGGAAAAATTAGGTTGAGGTAGTAAGTGATTGTTGTGATGAATGAATTGTATGCGCCATCTACCTCTCTTTCCCGAAATACCCCCGCCCATGTACAATCTTGTATTGTCTCTTGATATTGAGTGAGTTTATTAATAGAAAATGTTCTGCCTGTAAAGTAAGACTCTTTAAGTTTACAAATGCTGCTTATATTTATTGATACTGTCTGAGCATGGTGATCACCTATTCCTGTTTTTATTACATAATTATTACAGTTGTAGGTATATTATACTGTCCACTACACTATTCACTATGTTGTAGCAATCCCTAGATATTAAACTGATGAATGAACATCCTGATTTTAGTGCCCTGAGGATGGCCTAATTCGGGCCGAAACGTCGGCAAATACAAAATTTCTTCCCTGTTAATTTTTTGATCCAAATCCAACCTTCACAAAAAGTCAACTGGTTATTTAATTTAATATTTAGTATTCTGAACTGCAACTCCGCATTAAGAAGTCCGCTTTATGGAAAAGTTAAAACAAACTTTCCAGATGGATTGATTAAACATTTTCATCAGTCTTGCCAGACTACTACAGTATTTATTAATAATTAAGTCAAACTATAGGTACGCTTACCTTAAAACTAATTTACACGTAATTAGACTTAAAACTATGACTAGAATAAATTAATAAAAGCAGTTTTAAAAATTTAAAAACAATATTATTTTTATTTGAACTTTTGTTGTTGAAAGGATGAATGAAAACGTCAGAAGAAGCAAAAGTGAGGTTAGGTTGAGAACCAGCTTGAAAACTCTTCTTTATTTTATAAATTGCAGGAACTAAATAAAAAATGTTTATTCACAATAAATAGCTAATTGAAAACTGCCTTAATTAAAATTTAGCTTAAACTTATTTTTACTTATAGTATTATTAAGTTCAAATACTCGATCATTTCATTACATTCAATTTAAATACATACACATAATACAGAAAAAAGAAGAACAATAACAACGCACATTCCGGCGCATTCCCAAATCAGCTGTAGTTACGTCAAAGAAAAAAAAATTATTCCCAGAATATGCAAATTCTATTTTCATTTTCAATTTTCACAAATTTTCCAAACAGTTAGTCAGGTGTCAGAGTCAGACGGAAACGGCGCATTGTAATGAAAAGTACGCGTTAAATGCTGTCGAAGCATGGCCGAATCATTTTACGATTTTGAAAGGGAAAAGCTCAAGTCGAACATTTATTTCGATGCCTTGAATGGTATGTCCATATCCCTCTTTACTAATCTCAGGAAGTTGTCTCAAATCGAAGCCAATTCTCTTTTAGACGAGGTAAATATGCGTTTATAAATAATGAGTCTTTGTTCTAAAAACGACACACTTGCTTGTCATGTCTTTGTTTGGCGGTTTTGTGGAAAATTCCTTTTGATTTGTTCCAGAATGTGTCTGACGATGAAGGTCAAAACTGGACTCCTTTGGCTGCTGCAGCTAGATACGGACATGAAAACGTGATAAGGATCTTATTAAGTAAATTTCAACCGAATATCGAACAAGAATGCACTGTTAAATTTGATGGATATGTTATTGAAGGAGCTACAGCACTTTGGTGTGCAGCTTGTGCAGGTAAATATTCTTTTCAATAATTTTATTTATTGTTGGGATGTTGCCCCAATTTGAGAAAGGAATTTGATTCTTCAATCACTCTTTACAATAGAATTCATCAATAATGAAATGTCATCATAAAAATGTTGATGATCGGACACATTTTGGAGATTTTTTTTTCAAATTTGCAATAGTCACAACACAGAACCTACTCCAGCGATAGCTTCCTCGCCCACTTAATGGACGCAAAACTGCCCACATGCCACAGGTGGGAAAGCTCAATAATCTCTCCATGAACACAAAATCAAGCGAACGAAATATAGCTTGGCTGCAGAGAAGCTAGCGGCGGCTAGGTTTTATATTAAAACACATATGCAAGTTAGAGGAATCTTTTGTGCCTCTTTTATTAATAAATTATCAAAAACTGTCCTTGTTGACAATTGCTAAGGCATTTGTTCAAACTTCACAATCAGGTAATACTAGCAAGGAAACTAGATATACCTGCATACTTATAACATGCTTCCTTAAAAAAAATAAAATAAAAATAATAATATTTGATAAAAAAATATTAATAATAATCAAGATTCAATAACTAAGGTTCTAAATCTGAATCTAAATCACATGCATTATTTTTTATGCATAATCATTCAACCAAGCAGGTGGTTTAGATTGCCGTCTAGATAATACTTTAGAATCATCTGAATTTGAAAATCTATTACCATCGGGAGCACAAATAGTTTTTGATAATTCATCAGATGATACTTCAGCATTATTAAAATGATTTTGAATATTAGAAGAAACAGAAGCTTGAGCAACTTGATTATTAAGAGGAATGTTATCAAAATCATATAATAAGTTATGGTCACATTTATTTTGGAAAGTCAATTTTGTTGGTCTCAGGTATCTTCGATTTCTTCTATATTCACTGCCGTACTCATCTATCACAATGTAAGATCTATTGTTAACATTAGCCATTACTTTTCCTATTTTCCATCCCTTTTCAACTTCAAATCAGAATTGTCTCACCTATATTTAGTTCTATTAAATCTTTTGCATTTCTATCATAAAAATATTTTTCTTTATCTTTCTTATTTTCTAAAACTCTTTTAATTTCGTCATTGGTAATTAGAATGGGTTTTAGTGCATTTTCCGAAATTGGAATTTGAGTTTTAGCAGTTCGCATAAGAAATAATTGGCTTGGCGAGTAGCTTTTGAGAGATGATATCGGGGTATTATTATATTCTAAAACTAATAATTGCAAATTGGAATTTTTAGCTTTTTTAAGCATGTTTTTCACAATACAAACATATTTTTCAGATAATCCATTTGATTGATGGTGATAAGGACTACTGAAAACAATATCAAAACTCCAATTTTTTGCAAAATTTTTGAACTCAAATGAATTATAAGGATTATTATACCAAAAAATTTATCTGGCATTCCAAACTGTTGAAATTTATTTTTGCACACCTCAATTAATTCTTTGGCGGTTTTTGTTTTTGTAGGAGTGATTTCGATCCAGTTGGAAAAAGCATCGACCATAATGAGATAATTCTTATTTGCAAATTGAAAAAAATCCGAATGAACATATTGCCATGGGCGAACAGGGGAAGGATGTGGATTCACAATATGCATTGGTGTAAAAATTTTCGGCAATAATTACGGCAGTGAGATGTGGAATGTTTGAAATGTACTTGTTCTTGCAGATTATAATCTTTCTCAAATAACTTGGTCCAATAGTGGAGATCTCTCTGGTTTATTACCTGGAAATGTAAGGTTAATTAACCAAATATTGTTATGTGATGGTACTGCCTCTCTTAATCTGTCTCAATACAATGGGGTGACCAACGATCATGATTCAATCCTGGATTTATGCTTTGCCAACTTTGATCTTGTTTCAGTTGTAATATCTGACATTCTGGGTGGGCTGTGATAGTTATCACCTAGCTCTGGAGTTTTCCAAATCTGGATAAAGCTAAATTTCTGAAGCCTCTTAATTATTTTTCCTATGACCCAAAAAATACCAATTACGATGTAATTGATGAATATTTTCTTTCCTTTGATTGGTGATCCATCATGACTGAGGATCTAAACGAAACTGTTAATAACTTTTACTTGGTGCTGTTCAACTGCTTTAATATGTTTGTTCCCACAAAGAGACATTGTTACAACGATTAATTTCCTATCTGGTTTTCTTAGGAACCAAAAAACCTGTTTTTTTCAAAAGAAAATTGCTCACAATAATAATACAAGCAGTCGAATAGTGAAGTGGATTATTTTGCATTTAACATACTTCGGAGGGATTGTAAAAACCTTACCAAGGAGTGCTACAAATTATACATAAGTGATACTGAAAGGGCCATAGGCACTAATGTGAAAGTTTTTTTGAACTTTGTTCGTTCCCAATCCAATCAGGATACTATTCCTAAGGAAATGTTTCTGGCGACAGAAATAGCGTCCAACAGTGTTGACATATGGTTGACATAGCTAATCTTTTTGGTGTCTATTTTTCCTCTGTCTATAACCCTCAGAGAAATTCCAACGCCAGAACCTTTGCTGATCGATTTGAGAATGTTTCGAGCATTGTCATAGACCCAACCGATATTGAGAGGGTTTTAAAGCAAGTGGCCATCAACAAGTCTGCAGGACCTGATGGTATTCCTAACAAAGTACTAAAATCTTGTTCTAACACATTGTATCTCCCTCTTTTCATTTTTTTTTAACAAATCCTCAAACTCTGGAATTTTTTCAGAAATGTGGAAACTCTCTTATGCTTGTCCCATTCCCAAGTCAGGCAGCAAGAATGATGAAACAAACAAGGTATTAACAAACTACAGACCTATCAGCATCCTGTCTACAATTCCTAAATTATTTGAGAATTGCGTCGAAAATATTCTTTCAAAAATATTTCATCAGACTGTGATCAGTCAACATCATGGTTTCACAGCTGGTAGATCTGTTGATACGAATCTGTTTCTCTCTACAAATTTTATAAATTCATCATTTGATATCAATGCAGAAACTCATGCAATATATCCTGACTTTAGTAAAGCCTTTGATATATAAGATCCTTCATTGAAAGCACTCAAGTTATGGCTTTTCTGGATCCTTACTTTCATGGATAAAATCTTACCTTACTAACAGAATGCAACAAATCAAGACCGATGGCTATCTTTCTACTCTTTTCCATGCATCCTCTAGGGTACCCCAAGACTTGGGCGCCCTTCGTCCCTTCTATTCACCTTATTTATAAATGATTTAGGACCGTTGCTCTCCTCGAATTTTTTACTTTTCACTAATGACTTGAAGTTGTATCGTTATAGGTGACGTCAGCTCAAGACATACCCGTTCCGCAAAACGATCTTAACATTGTTTATGATTGGTGTCAGCCGAGGTGTCAGCTTAATGACATGTTCCTCAATATTGATAAGTGTTGTTGTATAGATTCAGTCGATTCAGTAGACTCACCTGTAAAGTTCCCTTTCAGTATTGCTTAGGTGATGTTCGCTTGTCTGAAGTTTCTGTCATTAAAGATCTTGGTGTCTAAAATCTGTTTTTTTTTTAAAGATAATTCCCCAAGTCAAAAATTTAGTAACTATTGGCAACACAAGCCTTTTCTACATAAAAAATTTGAAAGCATTGACAATTTTACATTGTATTGCCAACATAATGTCATTTTGACTTTTATCTTTAAAAAAAACACAGACTTTATCTATACCTTAGAGCAGGAAAGCGCTGTCCTACGGACATAAGGAGTAGGAAAGCGCCATTCTGCTTGAAATGAAACTAAAGTGAAGCCAAGTTTTTGGCAGGTGCCTTCTTGGTGCCAAAATACCTGGAAAAAAACTGTTTCATTTTTCAAATCCAGGTTACTACTCCTCTTTACCTTTACCTGCTCTAAGATCTATACTTTATTTTTTCCCAAGATATATTTTGACATTGTCAACTTTGAAACATAAGCAATACCGCTCATTGGTCGCAAGAGGCCATTTGCATGACATGCATTTGCCAACCTGCAGGGACACCTCATTTTGCGATTGATTCTCAGTGTTGACCAGACTATGACTTTCTTAGACTTAACTACTCTTGTTCTCAGAAGGGAATACTTTGATGTCTGTTTTGCTTCGAATATCCTTAACTATACATAAGAAGCCACGAATGTCTTGGATGCTTTTATCTTGACTTTTTCAGTTTATCTCAAGATAAATTCAAGATGCGGCCAAGAGAATGGTTTTAGGTTAGATTTTTAGATTATTTTAGATTTATACTTTGTACTACTTCAAATGTAAAATCTGTTTTTTTTTAAATAAAAGTCAAAATGACATGTTGGCAATATAATGTAAAATTGTCAATGCTTTCAAATTTTTATGTAGAAAAAGCTTGTGTTACCAACATAGTTACTGAATTTTTGACTTGGGGAATTATCTTTAAAAAAAAAACAGGCTTTAGGTATTGGGGCATTGAATAGATAAATAAGGGAAATTCAGCCAGTTATAGCGGAATTGATGGTACTGAATTGATCTCGGCATTGACGGCATTGATGTCAGAATTGACGGCATTGATGTTGGCACTGTTGGCATTGATGGTGACATTCTGTGGTGACATTGTTGTCGGCATTGACAGAAATATTCGCAGCAATCTCCATAAGCATTGGGTACATTCAGGCGGTGCCAGCGGGCAGCGGCTAAGCTCAGCCACTCAGCAGGGACTTTATTCTCGAAACCGAGGAACAGCGTTCTTATGAGAACGATTGCTCTGTCCGAGGCTCTGTCATTGTCAGTGTTACGGAAATATGAATACGAACGACGAAGACAGAACCTTCGTTTTCATGAGAACGCTGCTCCCCTGTTTCGAGAATAAAGTCCCTGCTGAGTGGCTGAGTTTAGCCACTGGTACCGCCTGAATGTACCCATTGCCTAACTTTGGCAGCTAAGGGTGAAACACCCCTCGTTTAGTAGCTATGATAAAAATATCAACCATAAGGTATAACAAATTAAAAAGTTCAATCGTCTGATAAGTTT